GTATCTCGAAGATGAGGAAGGCATATCAACTGCCAGCAAGGGCACTTCTTGCTGCTGACACTGCTCTACACATTTCTCCGCCAGCTAAAAGAAAGATAGGAATTGATTTAGGCTATTGAACTCATCAATAATCTCATCTGGAAGAGGCCAAAACTATGGCACTAAACACTTTTTTTTTAATCCCAAAAGGACCAACTCAAACAGAACGTACAATTGCACTTGATGCCAAAATAATTACTTGAATAGATAATCATTGTAGAGCAAATCGTGTTCGCTGTCGCCGTGCATAAGACTCAGGCGCTGTAAACAGAAATACCAATAGAAGTTTCTAGATCCCTTGTTGAGAAACTTACCCGCTTGACTTCCAGCTGACGCATCATCGAAGCATGTGTGCTACGTGGCTGCATCTTTTTGGAGCCCCCTTGGGTGTTACTTTTTGTCTTCGTGGCAGTCGCTCCTCCACGATTGTTGGCACTTTCAGTACCCGACGCCTGGTTGCTGTTTCAAGGTGGAACCAGTGTTAGGGGTAGAATTTGTATACCTAAACCTTGAGACTTACGCGAGATTCACTGGTTGCTTTTGTGTAACCGCAGCAGATCTGCCACTGACCACTCGAGCGGCCATGCTGCCGGAAGGCTGACTAAGTGCAGCTGCTCCCGTTTTGGCAACACGCTGATGGGTTTTAGCGTGCACTCCTGTGGCAATCAATTGTGTTTGTCGCTCCGACTGCAGCTTCTTGGTCACCGCAGATGTTTGGCTCATTTCCTGGGACACTGTGGACACCCTTTCCTTCTGGTTGAGGCGTGGATTCTTGCGAGCTGCGGACGGTTGGCTCTTGGGTGCCTTGTAAGCCAACTTCTGGCAGATGGCTGGCGTGGATGGCGGTCCACACTGTTCCAAGTCATTCGGCATTACCTCTTGCAGGTCCGCCTCGCTGAGTTGGTTCACCAGCTGCAGGCCATTGTCGTCTTCAAAGCGATAGCGATTGTCCCTCATATACTGTCGTCGATCCGTTTCCAATTGCTTGCCGCAAAGTGTAATGTCATCGCCCTCAAACTCGGAATTATTGCAAGAGGCAAAGACCTCCTCCTCATCCGCATCATCGACCATGGCAGCTTTCGGATATGGCTGACCGGACTTGCGGGGACTCTCAACTGGTGTGGCGGCACAGCTTCTGTGTGAAATCATTCCCAGACTGTGGAACAGCTCCTTGAAGGCCAATTGGGTGACCCTATCCTGTGTGCGCATCGACTCGGTGTAGCTGAAGAAGTTGTCAAAGAGCTTGATACCCTCGATCTGTTGCTCAATCTCCAGTTCCGTGTAGCTGCGATGCCTGTTCATGCGACCCTTGGGCGTCACCACTGCATGGGTGTGCTCCAGCTTCTCGCTTAGCTGATCGTTCACGCGTATTAGGAACTGATTGACAAACACAATCTCCGGTTTGCTGGCAAACACCTCGGGCTCACTGAGTTGCAGCGCGAGGCAAGTGTCCCTGCACAATGCCTCGTCCAGCATATGCTTGCCACCGACACACTCCTTTGTCGTAAACTTTACATTGAGGCCCCGGCCATTGGGCAAGAGAGCCACAACGACGGTGTCCAGGGGCATCTGTTCATCACCCAGCTCGGTGAGAAACTCGAAGATTTGCCGCTGTATATAGATCTCCTGCATATTGCGTTGGGATTTGTTTGCATCGTTAATTCTGTCACCATGCCTCGACGTAGAAGCTGTTTCTTTCCCCGCGGACTTTTGTTTATAGGAGGGAACCAACTCCTTTGTTTCTCGGGCCTTCGCTTCCAGTTTCTTATACGAGGGAACAAATTCCTTCACCTCTGATTTCTTGGATAAGAGAACAAACTCCTTCACCTCTGAGCTCTTTGATGAGGGAACAAACTCCTTGACCTCTGAGTTCTTGCACTTGCCCACAAATTCCTTTATGTCCAAGTTCGCAAACTCTTTCCGTTCGGAGCTCTTAAACGATGGCACAAACTCCTTTGCCTCGGGATTCAATGAAGACTCACCTTGGCTTTGGGTGAGACCCACCTCGTTCTTCAATGCCTGCCCCAAAGTATAGAAATTCAGAGCCTGTTGTCGATGCCATAAACCATCGTCCATTCTGTGGTTTATTCTTGTAGAATTTTGTCGTGGTTTTCGTTATAAATATATTATTTAAAAATCCAAAGTAAACACACAATTTAATAGAGTTTGGTAGAGATGCTGTTGTGGATTCTAGTGAATGAATTGTTTTATCATAATTTTCAAGGATAACTTGGGTGGAAGCTTTTTAACGATTGATGTCCCCGCTTGCTTACAGGTTAAAGTCGATGAACTGGATGCCAAGTTGGCCTACATACAGGTCACCCATGTGATTCCCTTCTTTACCAAAACAGAGCTCGATCAGCGTCTCAATGAATTCGAGCAGAATCATGATGTGAACACCTTCATGTACGAGACACCATTCACCAAGTCGGGGGCAGCACGTGGCAGCGTCGAGGAGCAGTGGAAACGCAAGACCGTCATAGAGAGTGAGCAAAATAATTAAATTTCGACTTTTTTTAACTTGTTTGTCTTTCCCTTAGCCACATACTCGTTTCCTTATGTGTTGAAGCGTATTCCTGTCAAGTCCCGCGAGATTATCGAACTGAGTCCCATTGAAGTGGCCATCGATGAGATGCAATCAAAGGTTTCAGAGCTTGAGGAGATCATCATGCCGCCAGCCGATGTCAAGAAGTTGCAGTTGCGCCTACAAGGCAGCGTGGCAGTGACTGTGAATGCCGGTCCGCTTGCCTATGCACACGCCTTTCTGGATGCCAAGGTGATCAATAACTTTTCACTCGATCGCGTTGGTGATCTGAAGGATGTTTTTCGGTATGTTTTATGGCATTATCCTCCCTGCGAGTGGCGTAATTAATTTCGTTTTATGCAGTGACTTCATTGGGGTCTGCCACAAAGCTTTGTGCGTGAACGAGCGGATGATCAGTGCCGATCAGAAGGAGTATCATCATGTGCTGAAGGAGAACTACGAGAAACTGTGTCTGGCACTCAGTGAGTTGCTAGACGATGAGTCCTTCCAGCCGCTTAGCGAAGATGCCGAAAGCATTAATCAGCGCAACAGCATGGCTTTATTCAACGCAATCAGTGGCGCCTCACATAACTCAAGTACTGCATAAGTTACTCAAAAATCAAAAGTACACGCACAGCTACTAAAAAAACAGAGATAATAATCGTAGAGAGCGTAGAGCGTAGAGCGTAGAGAGCGTTAAGCCTAAAAATTGTTTTGGTGTTCCTTTTCTTTGATGTTGTTGTTCAAATTGAAATTTCCTTGTGGCAGGTAATGCGAGAATTTTGGGTTTAAGTGCATGCCAACTAACATCCTCCAAAGGGAAAGAAAGTCTATCCATCTAACCATTGGCTATATGAAAATTAACACGAATCGAATTTAAGTGTAAGCTTTATTGGAAACTTACTAACACCAATTGCCATGCCATTATGTTCCCCCCTCATCGAAGATCTTCCTGTACCAGTGTATTAATTTGTCTCTAATTTTACCTTTTTAGGATTGTATTTTGTCGAGCAAAATACCAACACCACCCACAACCACCATCACCATCACCACCATCCCCACATACACACACAGAACTCCTTAAATAATCCATAACCGATTGAATACCCTATTGTAAACACTTGTTAATTTCTGTATCTAATTTTTAAGTGACTGAGATCTTTGATTTGATTTTAATTGTATATTCATTTTTGACTTTATATCATATAATTTGTATATTTTTATGACATGCCCGAAATCACTTATGAACCTCGAATTAATTGTAAAACTTAGCTTTAGATTTGTATATTATTATTTAAATTAAATTGATTTGAATTGTGAATTGAATCTATACCGTACATAGTGTAACCTGAATCAGCTACTTTATTAGATGAAATCTGCTAACTTTGTGTCTTCTTGCAAACTCTGAATGGCTAACAAATTGTTTAATAATTTAACTATTCCTAAACCTAATTGTGTAACTAGGCAAATAAGCTGCAATAAGCAAAAGAACTTACCAAAGTATTCAGATAAAGGAAATATCAAAATAAATATATATATTTACATGCATTTTCTAGTGAAATATAACTATAAAGAATTAAATAAAAATATATGCATTAAATGTTCACCATCGCAGTGTTTATTATTAGCTTAGTTCTCTAAAAAGTTCATAAAGTTTTTATGGTAGAATAAAAATTGTTCTACCAAGTATAGAATGTAGGAGGCTGGGCAACCGACGGCAGCTTCGCAAAGATGGCTGCAAAATGGAAAGTGAACTCATACATATATTTGTTCATCGTTTGTAAAGTCCATGAGTCCACGTCCAAAGCCGCCGCCTCGTTGGTAGAGGATCCCTGGAGATCAGAACGGAATCGTCAGTCTCGCTCGAGCTAGAGTGACGGCTGTTGCTGTCGATGAAATCAATTATCTATGGAAAAGATATGGAGACATCACCATTCTTTGTTCTTCTTTATCTTCTCATCGAAAGATAAAGATAAAGAATTATGATAAGCTTCTTAACTGTACGATTAATGGCAACATATTTGTAAAAAAGTACGGATTATCTTGTCGAATGTCTTTATACATGTGTTTATTATCCGCACCACCTAACTCATATAGTTAAGTCGTTATAAGAGATAAGAGATTTAAACATATGGTGGGGTTCCTTTTTTGTTGGGTTCAATTTGTATTTATTAACAATTTTTTAAAATTATTTAACAATTTTGTTTTTCATGCGCGGATCGACACTGAAATGTTACTTAAATTTTGCTTTTAGAATTTTCACTGCGAACAAAACCTCGAAAAAAATGTTAACAGAATTGGCCAGAAGCGCGTGGAAGGCATCAGTATTGGATTGAACAGTCAATGAGTCCATGAATCAATCAATCAACCAATCAATGTTCCGTCTAGGGCTACATAAATATTTAATTTCATCTTCTCTTGTTTTTTGTTTTTTGTTTTTGTTTTAGCTTAGCATTAGAATTACGAGTAGAATTACAAGCGGGCATTGGGGTTCCGGGAGCGGACAAAGTTCAGCAGCTCATCGGAGTCCTCGCAGACGAAGGGCTTGATATGGTGGCAGGCGACGTCGTGCCACTTGATGCCATCGTTGTAGAAGTTATTCAAGATGGAGAGGCAGCTCTCATCGTTGCCCTGGGCAGCCTCCCGGTTGTCGGGCTGCGGCTGGTTGTAGCCTCCCGTCGGCGACCAGTCGCCAGTGTTGCGCTGCGATGTGGGTCCGATTTTGGCGCCCGATCCGGACCAGAACCAGCCATTCTCGTTCGGTGGCTGCAGATCGGGCCTGTCGCAGCCAGCAAAGTTGCACTTCCTGCCCGACGTCCAGATATACCGCACATTGCCGCGGGATATGCGCTGCTTCACAAAGTCATTCTCCTGCGGCGTCTCCAGCGACACGGCGTCCATGCAGTGGCGACGGCAAATATTTCTCGCATCCAGCCAGTCCACCTCCAGGCTGCGCGTCGGCGCATGCTCCCAGCTGAAGAAGTACGAATGAGAGACTCCGCGTGCATCCCTGTAGGAGGCATGGCGCACCCGATTCGCACAGCTCCGTGGATCTGGCAGGGCCAAGCGGCGTTGGGCCAGCGCCATGGTGGCGCTTAGTGCCAGCAGCAGCAACGTCCGCAGCACAGACATGTCAGGGTAACTGCAAAGAGACAAGTGTAGGCGATTCATTAGCTTTTGCCCCAAAAATTGTTTTCGAATCAGATCAGAAGGTGCCCAACCCAGTGCGTTTCCGCTTGAATGGTTACCAGCGGGGGACATTATGCGAAATCAGTGATTGGAAATGTTTTGCATCGATTTTGATCAATTTTGACTGTATGTTTTGTGTGTATGATGGAATTTGTCCCACACAATTGTCATTCTGTGCAATTTGATTCCATTTGATCTAATTGAGTAGTTTTCCATTTGAAAATTGGGATTAGACGGGACAAATAGGCCTTCAACCTTGCTTCTAGTTATTTCGTAACGTGAGAATTGTTCCCCCAATCAACATAGCCACATCCCATCATTTTTTCACCCAGCAACTGTCTCGTCGTGTCCTCACTCTACCCACACACCTCCTATGCAAATCTTTTTATTGTTTAATGCTTTTCTACATAAAAAACTTGAATATTGCATGCACATTTTGCATTTACCTTCACCCTTGACGTTGGCAACTGGTTCTTTTTATCACTCACTCATCAAAATTACATGAAGTAAACTAACAAGTCTTACATAAAATTTAAAAACAACCTTTGCAATCAGATCCGCATTGGGGGCATGATTGAAACGCGTGCTATGTTTTGTCTAACATAAATACAAAAGAAGTTTAATTAAATCCAACTAACGAATCGATTCAGTGAAGTGCAGATGATGGGAAACGATATTTACAATCATTCTTGGTTAAAATTGTTCCCGAAAATGTCTTTCTGCTTTCAAACCTGACCTTTATTTTGCATGACAGGTGTGACTGACCTTACCCAAAGCCTTGACCAACAGCAAGAAAACTCCATACACTAGCCAGCCCAGCTCTGGAGCCAACCAGCCATGTGCACAGTACATACTCGTATTTATCACCATGTATGTAGTCTTCTTCTGTACTCGTTCGTTTCTAGCTCAGCTCTGATGTGCGAGGTTTGCCTTGTGCATACCAATACGAAATGCTTGTCGTCGATGGAGAAAGTTGTAAGAGTTCGGTTGGGGGCCTCTGGTAGCCATGGTCATGCATTACACATGATGGCTGAAGGGTCTCTGGTCTCTGGCCAATATACGAAACTCTTCCGGCTGATAACATTCCCAAAAAGAAATACTTTGGCTTGGATTTTGGCCACGGGCAATTGCATGTGGCTTTTGTTTTTGCCTTTTCACGGCTTGTATATTTTGTAATTTGAATTTCCGTTGCTTCATAAACTCAACTCATTTCCTATACAAGAAAATATATTATACGGATACTCGTATGTGTATGAGCACACGTTTCGTTTGGCTTTTTGGTCTTCCGACTAATTGTCGTGGGTAAGGGCATTGGCAGCTCCAGAGAAATATTTCCGAACCAATTGTCCCCACTTTTCTGTGGAGTCTCTCTTCAGCTTACAAGTAGCTCTCATTTTTGTCTTTGGGTACTTTTTGTTGCTTTGTTTTCGTTTGTTACGCAATATTTGCTTTATTGAACATTTCAATGGGAGGCACTTGTAGCTATAAACTGCTGGAGAAAGGCATTTAGGTGTCTCTTGTTTTGCTTGACTTGTGGGAGATGTACCTCCAAGACATACAATATGACTAATGATGGCTTAGGCTCTTCAAATGTGGATTTCTTTTATATAATTGTACACTTGTTCGGCGTGCAAAAACCAACCTTCAAAACGTGCTCAATAGCCAAATAAATATTACAAAATAACTGCAGCATGCCAAACGAAGGAGAAGCTGAAATCTGTGTAAAGCGTAGATCCACGCTGCAATCTTTTGGAATAATGTTTTTCCAAGCACTATCGTGAACACATCTGCGTAACATTCCGATTCCGCGAGACACAGCCAGTGTCAGGCAGTGTCTGTGTTAAATAATTAATTCCAAGCCACTTGTGGCACGGCTTCGTGGCTGCATCTGCCGAGCATTTGTGCCTCACCACCATTCCTTTCCTTTCCATTCCATACACCCCATACATGGGCAATTAATCTCCGGCTTATACATTACATTTTACAGCCTTAGACCAACTGGTTTTTGCTTCGGGCCAGTTGCCGTATAGTTGCAGTCTTCTTCTAAGGCAAGCACATTTTTTATTTATGTATCACGCGCCTCAAGCATTACTTCAGTTGAAGTAAATCTCTCGAAATATTGCACAGGGGAAACAGGTGTTTGAGGAGACTTGAATATTGATAGTTTTATAATATAGAATTAGGCAAAACTCTACTCAAAAACCAGTAAATTACTTCAATCGAAATGCACTTTAAAATATTTAATTAAACGTTTGCAGATATAATAAATATTTGTTCAATTAAATTCGGAGAATTATGTAAGCTTATGTAAATATTTAGAGTCATTTAAGTGCATAATTGTTGCCTTTCAAATATTATAAATAAATGTTTTAGCTATTTTTTCATGAATAGTTTCTCATGAGCTTCCTCAAAGTCTTCTAAGAACTTTAACCTCTAAAACTAATTAGCATTTTCGACTGCAAGCCTCTTTGATTATCTTTTTACTACCTAGAGTTGTTTATGGCATTTCCTGCTAATTAGAAATCAATCGATAAAATCGCATTCAAGCACATTTCTTTAGAGAAATCTCTTGGGGCAGCGTGTGGCAGTTGCAGTTGCAGCTTCGCCGTCGTTGCAGTTTGTTTGTAGAACGGCAAAGACCAAGCCAAGACGAGTTTCTGGTTTTGTTTCTTTTTTTTAAGCACAACTGCTGCAAGCGATGACAGTAATTATAAAGAAGACGGATTTGCCAAGCCGCAACAGCAGCAGTAGCACCTGCCACAACAACAACAACAACAATCACAATGATGACTTGTTGCTGCAACCAACAAGGTATCCCCAGCTTATGTACATGAATAAATATGTTGCTAAGTTGCTTTTGATGTTGTTTAAGGGGTTGTGCTGGGTTTGCTGTAGTGCTAATTAGAATGTTTGCCTGTTTGTGTGTGTGTGTGGTGCTGCAACATTTGCCTACAAGTGCAACAGCGTTTTGACCTCTTTAAAGTGTAGAAGGGTTGCGCCCCCTAATCAAGCAGGATGCTCGGGCTCTCGCTGGCTGCCTACCGTTAAGAAAGTTGCATGCGGATGTGCTGCTGCTGCAACAGCGAAACGGAGGCGATATTTTAATTGCCTGGTCTTGGTCGGGTCTGGTGTTGGCCAGGTCTTGGTCGGGTCTGGAATTGGCCAGGTCTGGCCGGGTCTGGTCTGGTCCAACGTTTTCTTTCAAGAAGCAACAGCAGCAGCACCAGCAGCAGCAGCAGCTGAACAACAGTAAACAAAAGTCGCGCTCAAAAAGTAATATGTAGAAAAACTGGACAGGCGGTAGAAGAAAGTCTGTCAACTGTTCGGCGGTGGCCAAGTTGCACACCAAACCACACAGAAGGAGAAGGAGCACCCGCTTGCGGTCGTTCGTTACTGGACACCATACACCATGCTACAGGTTGCGCAGGTTACAGGTTTTCTCAGATGAGCAAAAGCCAGCAAAAGACAGCCAGCAAAAAACCATAACAATGAACATCAACTCCCAGCAAAGCAACTTGAAATGATAGTGAAAATGGTATGGTACGGTCTCTGCCTCTGCTGCTTTTTTGCGCTCAGTTTTTGGTCATGACATAAAAATGTATTTATATGTGCAGGCCATATCGATAAATATTGACAAGGTGTCGGCGCTGTACGGCGAGATGAGTCGGAGAAAGAGTTGGGGCTCAGGTGGAAGCTTCTCAGTGTCTGGGGGATATTCACTTTCATCTTTCTATCGCTGTTGAAGCAGGTGCTAATGGATTTTGTAAATTGTTGGCATGGTCAGGTACGAATAGGTACGAACTAAAGAGAGTCGATAAATGTGCAAAGAATATGGATAGAAAAAAAGAGTTTAAAGCTTTTGTGTGAAAACAGCAAAACAACGAGAATCTTCCCAACACTTAAAGTAAAGCCTGCAACTATTACTCATTCCAATATACGCAGAGTATCTCCCAGATTATTGTTTTTTTCAATTTCAAAGCTTTCAAAATAATACCCAAAAATTGTCAGCCACCAAGGGAATCTTCGACGTTAAAATCTGCACTTTCAACTCTCTCAAAATTACCCAAAACGATCATTAAAGCATCTGTTTATGCAACACCCACCCTGGGCATTCAAAAACTTCCCACAATTTCGATGCCAGTCATTGCACACCAAAGCATATTTTGGGCAGACCTTTTATTACTATCTCCCCAGATATCATAGCCGCATAATGATGATGACTGCTGCAGGGTCTGGAATTTGTCGCACAATTTGTTAACCAACCAAATGAACTACAATCAAAAGGGAAATACTCGCATATTGAACCCAAATTACAGTCACAGCAGAGTGGGAAGAATCGCCCCTTTGTGCCAAAATAAAAAACTTTCCTTTAAACAGAATCCATCCGAGAGAGTGACAGGAGAAGCCCGCAGATATATTTTGTTTTTTTTTTCGTGGACTTTCCCGCATTCCGAGGAGATAAATTATTTTGTTGTCAATTGCAGACGGAATCGTGACTTGAGATTTCTACTGTGGAATGTCTTGAATGCAGACTCGAAGAGGCAGAAGCTGTGGATCCTACTCCTCCACAGTTGGGTTTTCGTGTGGGTATTTAACCAGGGACCTGGACTGTCAAACTCAAATACTATCTCTCTCTTATTTAGTTTTAGCCATTAATTCTCGAGGTCACATCCAGTTTCAGCTGTAAAAATGTCAAACGGTGGATCTCCAGGGGGGCTTGTCTCCTCTTCTCTTATCAAGTTCGTTTATGGCTAAGCCATAAAATATTATTGGTATGTTGCTTAAATGTTTTACGACCTCAAAATTGCTACAGTAGCCCGAGGCAGTAGCTTATTGTCGCTGCCACAGTCACTGGCGCTGAAGCTGGCGCTGCCACTGCCCCAGCTGCTACAATCTGCAGCGTGACATTTTGGCAATTACAACCCAACAAATTTGCATGCTGCTGGAAAATTAGATTTTCCACTCATTTGCACTGAAAACATATTGCGTAATCTTCTGCCTCAATGCATGGGGGGGGCCGGGCCTCACTGTGGGCCGTGTGGGGAGTGTCGGTCTATAAAGCTGACCGAAATGGGGCCATGCAAAATAATACAAACAAAATGTGGCAAAAAAGGCACTTCATCATTGTCGAGTTAACTGACAAAGTTTTTCACACTATTTGCAATGTTCTTCTAACTGACAGAATTGTGACAGATTTCTTTGAGGTAGGTCGAAAATTGTGTGCAAAAAGTGAATATTCTTTGCTATTATATTCTATATTGCCTTCCATATTTTCAGCAGTGAGTTTAGTGAGGTAGGTCTGACTTTAAATGGGAGAATTTCTACATTCTGATTGATGTGCTAGGAGAAAAAACTCAATACAAATTCTGTATAGATTTGTAGATTTGTATCTACTTTGTAGTAAAAATTAAGTGATTTTTGTTTGTATTTCCTAAAATGAAAACCAGCAACAGTGACCCATTTTACAAGTCCACACCTTAATTTCCATTGCACAAACCATCCAACTGATCAGAATCAAATTATGTACTCTCAAAGTTTCTCGAAAAAAACTGTATTCACTGGTCAGTAGTCACATGGTAGTCCTTAGAGGATACATAAACTGTGATAATCACCTTTCTCGATTGGAACAAACGACACAAACAAAGCTCAGAGCTCGCACAGCACAGAGACCAACTTATGTTGCAGTTGTAAGTAGTTGAGGCAACCACACGCGCACGCTTCACTTTTACCAATGAACGCAATGACGATCTTGCCGCGGTTTATAGCCTGTCCCCAAGCCTCCAAAAGCCAGAGCCAAAAGCAAAAAGCAAAACAAACCCAAGCCCAATAACAACAACAAAAGCAAAGCGATACAAAGCGAAGCAAAGAAAAATAACAAAAATAAAAGCTTGGAGAATTGGTTCGATGTTCGAAGGTGTACATAGCTTCAACGCAGACTTACGGGGGCTTGCTCGGAAGGTAAACAAAAAGGAAGGTAAGGTGTTCTGTATAACATTGAAATTTTCCAATATTTGGTAGACTTGCCTTTATATAAAAATTTGTACCACAAACTGTTTCACTATTGGCAACCGAATAAAAACCGAACCTCACTTTCTATTTCATGTACCTTCTTGAGTTGTATGAAACGAAACGGTAAACTCAGAGCTGAGCTGAGGCTGCATGCAAGTTAAGAGCATTAATCTGAAGGCTGCAGTTGACGTTGAAGTTGCAGTTGCAGTTGGAGCTACTTAACTGTGTCAGTGTGCTGCTGCTGGTGCATCATCAAACCGTGTCGAGCATGTTCGTTGGACAAGTTTGCTGCCTGAATCATTAGTTTTGGCATGCTTTGCGGAAAATATAAAAGAAATAAATGCTTAAAGACATCGATCTCTTAAGACCGTTACATGCTTGGCTTAAACAAATGATTATGCATTAATAGTTGATTTTATTTTAATTTGCCTCGAGTCTGCTATCTTTTATGTAACAATTTGATATTATTTGGAGATACAACAGATGCACAAAAACGGTGTCAATAAAATCAATAAAGCTTAAATTGCTTCCGGCACAATTTGCTTGTCATTAGCCAAAAGGTGTTGAAGAAGCAAACCAAAAAGGGTGAAAGAGAAATAAATAAAATAAAATGCCAAGCAAAAAAATAAGCAAAAAGAGAGAAGGGTTGTCCATATTTTCAAAGACAATTATTGATATATTTAAGGAGGTCATCAGACCACAATCAAGTACCGAACTGTAGCAATAAAGTGTAACATTTGTTAAAAGTCCTTGAAGAAAGTGAAAGATTATAATTTGTGCTCACAAATAAATTCACTTTGATTTATTTACAAATTACCTTTCATATTAAGTATCATGAAACTTACAGACCTAAAAATTCTTTAATACAAAATGCTGGCTGTTATCTTAATGACAATTCCACAATGGAAACTGCTTAGTTATGCACTTTCAATGATCAAGTGGGCTCAAGTTCACCCCTACAAGGCGAATCAGCTTCTGATTCTGTTCGAGATGTCCTCTCACGCACTCGCAGTCGCACTTTACGAGCGCATCTTCAAAATGCATTTCAAATATCAACAAGTCGATAGACACTTGCGCATAAAACATGAAATGTGGCAGCATCCGATGGCGATGTGAGGTCGTTTAGTAAATTAAATTTAATTGCATTTTCCAGCAGGCGAGAAGCGAGCTCAAGTGGCAGCCAACAACTTCAAATCGATTTAAAATCGCTTCATTTTTGCTGGGACACCCGTGCAAATACCCTTGATAAGGGTATTTGTGGTTTTGTAATGCAAAGAGAGAGGTTTAATCTATCTTTAAAACACTATTATAATGTAATCTCTACTTTTGCCAAGATTTATTTATTATTTGAAATATTCTTCAGGGTATTTCAAACATCGTTCCATCACATCCCAACTGCCTTACTTGTTTGTGGTATGACTTTGAACGCATTTGCTTAAGTGATTTATGCATCCGAGCTGCTGAAAATCAGTCGAAACTTTAGTTGGGTGAAATCATTAAGTGTGAACAGCGCCAAACTTTGATCGCCATAATGATGGAGCGCCCCGAACTTGAACTTGAAGAACGCTGACTTGCAAAAGGCCGCCGCCACACGCACGCACACAAAAACATATATACTGAAAACATAAAATATAAAAATAGACATAGATAATTCAAAAAGCATATCCATGGCTGTGGCTGCAATTAGATCTGCACTCCAAATGGTTACCCAGAGGCGAGCAGCAATTAAAAATGGGTCTCGCCGTCAGAGCAACAATAATAATAAAACTCTGTTTACCATGAAGTTAAGTACGAGAGACCTTAGGCGTCATGGATACAGATAGCAGACAGCGTGGAGCATGCAGCATAGATTTTTGTCGTATTTTATGGCCCTCAACCTCAGGCTCGAGCTAGAGCCGCGTGTGTTTGCCACAAATTCGGATTTAAATTTTCCATTGCCTGCAATTTCACTTTCCTTTTCCATATATGTACCGATGTACATATGTGTGTAAATATTTCACAAAAATTGGCAACATCCCACACCGCCACCGCCACTAATAATTGGGTCGCTTAATCTACCATTTGACATCTATCATCTCTCCCCAGCCTCTCAGCCTCTCAGCCGGCAAACCTCATTCCCATTAAGCAGACAACTTTTTAATTACAATTGGGCTCATTGTTTGAGCAGCAATTTTGTGTCGAGTTATGCAACATTCGCATTGCGTGGCGATTGCCAAAGGAAAGTCATCATTAGATTGACATAAAAACTCTTTATCGAGTCGATTGCTAACGAAATGAATGAAGGGGAAGAAGTGGTTCAGGATTGGCAGAGTTTTGCTTTGAACGATCTGCTTGATGCAGAGTACCTGTGGTAGAAAAGTTTGTTTTACTTTAATCTCATTTCATTCATACAATTAACTCCATTTCAATCCCATCCAATTCTCAACACATCATTCATTAAAGTCTATCAGCACCCCAGGGACAGATGATGACATGGGAGAATCGGTTGCCATTCGACAAGAAGTGCGGTAACAAAGCGTAATCCAAGATAACTTACAATAACATAACATAATTAATGTTTGCCTGAGACGACGCTGATGCTAATTAACTTCTTCATCTCTTGGTGGATGTGGATGTGGCTGCCGATGGCTGCCAATGTCTGTCTGTAACCATAACCCAGTGACTGACTTTGACTCTTTGCCACCGCATCACGTGGCGTCGGCACCTTGGGTTCTGTAACCCATCAACAATACACAAAAAAAAAACTATTTCGCCATACGGTTTGCTGGAGGGGTTTCATCAATGTTCGGATCGTGGCTTTGGTCAGTCTTTGGCTGAGTTTTATCCAAAATATTTTCCACCTAAAACAATTATTTATTTCATTTAGCTGCGGCTACTAGATGTATTTATTTCGTTTTCTTGTCAATTGAGGAAAACCTTCATCGTTGTTGGCCATGAAATGAATTCGCATCAAAACTAATATTGTTTCAAATAATTGTTCGGTTTGGTTCGGTTCACTTTGGTCAAGGAAAACATTTTTGAACTTTTTTCGCCGTACTCGTATTTTGTTTGTTATGTTAATTTTTGCACAAAGTTTATTTAGGTGAACCAATATTATTTATTTGAATGAATGAATGCACTTTGCTGTGAGTCAACAGATTAATGTTATTTTAAGATGAATTTGCATCAAAGAAGGACAATTTGGGATCACGCATAGCTACAAAAATATATGGAAATAGAGTACATAAACAGCTTTAAGTAGAGACTTTATAATCTTTTCTTTCTGCAATAAAATGTATATAAATTTAGAAAAAACTTGCATCGCTCTCTCAACCATTTCAGGTTCAAGTTTAGCTTCACTTTAGTTTGCAATTTAACTAGAAACCATTCCATTTGCATCTACTGCAAAACGATTTGTTAATTTTACTTGCAAATCCCTGAAATTTTATTTGCAGCAACCACTCAAGTGAATAGAAAATTTCCATACCATTGCACGTGTGAGAAAAAAGAGACAAATGAGTTGACTTGAATCCAATGCAACTTTTGCTCAATGCCGACGCGACGCCATTGTCATGGAAGAACAACCGAGAAGCTCGGTACGAACCAGACCAGACCAAGTCGGAGTAAAATCTCCAGCCCAGAGACCCCTCAAGACCTTCTTTAAATGTGGCTGCATTTTGTTGGTGTTATGACTGGCTTTTGTTTTTAGCTTAGTTACTATGCCGCTGCTGTGTTGTTAGCTAAAATGTGCGACAAAATTCTGAGCCAGACACATGATTTGTTGCATTCAGGCACGACGTCGGAGACAACGACAACACAGCGCAGCAGCTGAGAGCTCATTAAGCCGGGGGAGCCATTATGCAATCTCGTTTGCATTGTTCATTTTTCTGGCAGCACATGAAGAAGATGGCAGCACTCGCTGCTCGTTGCTGTTCCTATTTCGGTTGGCTTCTGGCTTGCATTTGGTAATACTTTTACGAGGGTTTTCTATTGCTTTCTAAGATTATTATCAGAGCCAAAAGCATACACAGAGGAGGAGGACCATGGGGCCTTTTTGCAAACATCGATATTTTGGTCCCATCAGTCGACCCATCGGCGTTTTAATGGATTAGTTGGGCATTTGTTTATGCAAAGCAAAAAGAAGCAGAGTGCTGATAACAGGGTTTGTCATAGTTCATCGACCTAAAAGCCAACAAGTTTCGTCGTCAGTAGACATGACTTTCAAACAGAGGAATTTCTATGTGGTGTTTGTACTCTAGAACAATTTTGTTAGCTTACTTTTCGCTATTACAATTCGTATATTTACTTCCCTGTGCACCTAAGCAAATTAATTCCCATTATTCACTCCACTTGAGCTAAGCCCATCATCATGAATTAATACATTAAGGGAAACAATTTCAATCGAGTATTCTCCCTAATTGGTGTACCGATGCCATCGGAGCCATTCAAGAGGGCATGGCACAAATTACACCTGTTGCCATGGTGGGCAGAGATATGCATTTTAATCAGTGAAAGGGAGCAGCACTCCAGTGACAGCTTCAATTAGACAGAGCCGCACAAAAGTATGCCGCGGAGTGGCATTTAGTCAGAGTTTAGCCATGATACGCAGCGGTTTGGCATCGTATCGGGCGTGTAGGCGGCGATTGCGCGACGCGCTCAGTGCCCGCGACTACTACGGAGCCATTCAGATGATGATTGCCATTGCCTATGTGCTGGGCATTACGCCGTATTTGGTGTCGCACAACTCCAGCGGACAGTCAGCGATGCAGCAGTCCTGGTACGGATTTGTCAATGCCCTCTCCCGATGGCTGCTGCTGGCCTACTGCTACACGCACATCAACCTCCACAACGAGAGCCTCATTGGCTACTTCATGCGCAATCGCATCTCACAGTTCAGCACACGGATCCATAACTTTGGGGGCATTATGTCGGCTGTCTTCACCTTCATTATGCCCCTGCTGCTGCGCCGACACCTGCAGCGTTTCAGCGAACATGTGATGGAGGTGGATCGACGGCTGGACAGCCTGCGCCACCCCGTAAATTTCAATGCGGTGTTTGGGTTGGCGACGTTGGTCTTGGGCCTGGTTGCCCTGCTGGACACCATCATCACTGTCACCTGTCTGGTGTGCCTGGCCCAGATGGAGGTGCGCGCCTCCTGGCAGCTGACTTTCATCCTAGTCTACGAGCTCATGGCCATATCCATCACAATAGTTATGTTTTGTTTAATAACGCGCACGGTTCAACGTCGCTTGAATTATCTGCATAGGGTGAGTACTCCATTAAGGAGATATATTTAATGATAATTGCTCATATTTGCATGGAAAAGAGTTTAGAGCATGAAGAAAATATCCAAGAATATGCCTCGAATATTAGCGCTGTTGTTACTTTATTTTAGTTGAACCTTTTGCTTAAAGCCCAATCCTTTTGCCATTTCCATCTTCATATTCCACCTGTCAATCAGTCGAGAGTCTTAACTAAGCAATGCCCATGAGGATACTTGTGTGAAGCAAATTGAAAGAAGAAATCTGATCAGCTTATGGTAAGCAAATGGCCAGGAACAGCCACATCCCCATAGAGCCAACCCCCCCTAGGTGAAGTGTGACCAGATATGCGATTACCCGAGTGTCCAACGATAATGAAGATAATGAATTGCCCGTCACGAAGCGTACACAGGCAGGCAGACAGCGAGACAGACAGACACACATGCTGGCTGGACGGTTGGCAGTTTTCATTCTAGCCAAACAAATGAATAAAATTCAAGGCGTCGCCATGGCCATCTTCTCTTTCAACAAGGACACACACACACAGAACCACTTGTTGCTGCCATGCAAAAAAAATCCCAGGAAACACCATAATGAGCTTCTGCTGCCGGCATTTGTTTTTATTCTCGGCACTCCATCCACCCGAACGCCTCGTTTGCTCGTCTCAATTCTTTCGTAGGACATCGTTATCCATTTTGCCAGCCAGTTTGCGTTGACACTTTCATCCAGACGGTTGTGCACGGTTGTCTGCCTGCCTGCTCCCCAGAGTTAGTCATGTCCACCGCGTTGCGTCGAGTGCGCAAGTACTTCATCTCATCGCAGGTCTACGAGGCACTGCGTCCCCTGTTCTTCCTCACCTTTCTGTATGGGCTGACGCCGTTCCATGTGGTGCGTCGCAAGATGGGCGAGTCCTACCTGAAGATGTCCTGCTTTGGCGTCTTCAACATCTTCATCTACATCTGCCTGTGCGGCTTCTGCTACATCTCATCGCTGCGGCAGGGCGAGTCCATTGTGGGCTACTTCTTTCGCACGGAAATCTCCACAGTCGGCGATCGCTTGCAGATCTTCAATGGCCTCATTGCCGGCGCTGTGATCTACACTTCGGCAATCCTGAAACGCTGCAAGCTGCTGGGCACCCTCACAATCCTACACAGCCTCGACACGAACTTCTCCAACATTGGAGTGCGCGTCAAGTATTCACGGATCTTTCGATATTCCATACTGGTGCTGGTCTTCAAACTGCTCATTTTGGGTGTGTACTTTGTGGGCGTGTTCCGGCTGCTCGTCTCAATCGATGTGACGCCCTCGTTCTGTGTCTGCATGACATTCTTCCTGCAGCATTCGGTTGTTTCCATCGCCATTTGCTTGTTCTGCGTGATTGCGTTCAGCTTCGAGCGGCGACTCAGTATCATCAATCAGGTGAGTGTGTGCGCTGGTAAATATTTACTATCAAATATCAGACGGCAGAGAGCAGGCAGCAGACGGCAGGCAGCAGGCAGCGTGGCTGTCCTTGTCCCAGGGGAGTCGCCTCCACCTTTAGTTTTATTGCCCCCAATGAAGTGTGAAGAATTTATTTATGTAAATCCATGCAAACACACACACAAGAGTGTTGTGCATATTTTGTATTGTTTTAACCTGGTTGTTGCTTCTCACAGATCGTCTGCTTTGATTTAGTTTGAGGTGACAGCAGATGTGTGTGTGTTATGCTCAACAAGTACCACTGCAATCCATCCAGCCATAAATTATGTGTTTGATGGATTATTGATGGAATCTCTCTTCTCGCTCTCCACCCCATCGTCCGATCCTGGCTCGAGGCCAATCCAGCCGCGACAGTTGGCCGCCTCGCAGTGGCAACGCTGTGGAATATTACCGTACTGCTGGTAGCGATAGTTGAAGGTGATCTCCTCCCCCGGCATTATGCACTTCACGCTGAAAAGGCCTATCCTCACCTCCTCGTTGACCAGCCACTTCTGGGTCTCTGCATTCGGCTCGCAGCTGTGATTGATGAAACGCGAGATGTTGGCGCCCATCGTAGCATCGATGATGGCCTTGCCCCGCAGCCCCATGAAGTAGTAGTGCTGCTGGCCGTCCCTTGCGTATAAATGCTGCCGTCGCTGGAACTCCTCGCTGTCGATCACCTCACCCACGTACTCCATGATGTACTCGCCGGATGGGATTTGCAGCTCGGCTGCGAGCCCAAAGCCCTTCTTCTCGGTGCGAAAGACGCGGCAGGGCCGGCCCTGCTGCAGCTGGAAGCGTTTGTTTGTGCAACGATCTCCGTTTCTGCACAGCGGACCGCACTCGATCATCAGCATTCGGTTGATGCAGCCCGTTCCGCAGCGACCCTCTGCCGTCTTGTCGCCACTGCAGGTGCAGTCCGTCTCCGCTCTCTCCCGACTCAGCCGCCTGGAGCATCGATATTGATTCTCGCGGAGCAGCCTGAACGTGAGCAAACCCTCGCTGAGCAGAAATTGCTTGTTGATGGCCTCCATGTTGGCCGGCTCCGCCAATTGGTCGCTCAAGCTGATGGGCAGCGAACTGGCAGCCATGCCCATATTCTGGCTGAGCCTCGTCTTCCATCTGATGCGGTTCGAGCGACGCACGCCGACAACTTTCTTTTTTGGCAGATTGAAGGCCGGAACTGGAGCTGAACTGGAGCTGAAACTGTGTCCTGAATGGGCGGGCGAGTTCGAAATTGTACTCCTCCTGGCTTTTGCTTTCTCGCAATTTTCTCGAGAAATTACATTATTTTGATAGTCCTTCCTATTCGATTGGCTCCATTTTAATACACCTGATAACCAATTTAGTCTGAAGTTTACGTGGCGAAAGCCTGTTTTAAGCCACTGTTTTATGAATCGAATAGCCATAATGAGTTAGGTTTTAATTTTCTTTTCAATTTCTAATAACAAATTATGCTGACAGAATAGCCGCTAGCTGGAAATTCTTTATGTTTTTTCTTTGTACTTTTTAGAAACAATTTTCATGGCATGCTGGTTGTGTCAGTAGATTTGTCTAGATTTGGCATTCTATCTCTCTCTCTTTCTCTGAGCTGTAAAGTTTTCAATTTTTAATGTGACCGAATGTTCAAGGGACCGAGCGACAGAGTCGATTTCATATCGACTGCATATCCCTGCATCTCTGTCTGCGTACTCGGTTTAAAATGCTAAAATTATGCAACAAAAATAGCTTTTTCTTTCTGTGATTCAACCCTTTTTAAGCCAAACGAGTTTCAATGCAAAAATATGCAAATTCAGGCGTATTCTTGAAATCATTTGTAGCATTAAAGTTTCACTTTTCTACGCATTACTCGTATTTAAATCAGCCAACGAACTCACCGGAAACCATTATCATAATCATAATCATGTCATTTATGATACACTGAAGTCCGATGGCCTCAGGCCTCTTCAAGCTGGCCAAAATCTCACCTGATAACAGGAAACCCACAGCCAAACACACTCCCAAAAAACATGCCAATATCCTGTGGAACAATTGACATAAATTCCTTTGAACAGTTCACGGAAACCATAAAACTCATTAGGCTTATGATGGGGCTCAATAAACGTAGAGGGAAAAGAACAGGAGAGAGAGCGAGGAACTTCATTATTGGGTTCTGGTCATTCACTGATCCGAATGTAGAATATCCCGGACAATGACACGCGGGAAAAAAATTTCCCCTGAATGGCGGCAAATCGGACCGTGACAGAGAATACCCTGGGGTAAAAATGTCCCTTGGGAAACGTTGGGGAAATTGCCATTAATTAAAATGCAGCAGCTTAAGCTAATAGGTTAATGGTTCCGGCCGGGAAAGCAGCTTGTCGAAACGACTGTCTAGACCGGGGACAGTGCGAGCATATGAAAATGGAAAATTATTTACTTTTCCTGCTGGGGCAGCAACAAGGCCCCACCTCAGCTTCGACATTGTCGCCTGGCCAAGAAAAATGCAAATAATTTTGTGGTCTCTGGCGTCAGTTGCCGGGCGAAGCTCAAACGGAGCGCACACGAAACATGGAAGTGGGCAAGGATACGGATACGGTGGAGATAGAGGTCGAGTCCGGCGGTCTGTGCCAGCCGTTGCGCCGTCGCATTCGTCGCTTGCTCTCCGCCAAGCAGCTCTACGAGTGCCTGCATCCACTCTTCCATGTAACCTACTGGCACGGCCTCACGTGCTTCTACATCAGCAGCGACGCTGCCACAGGCCACAAGGACATCAAGAAGACCCTTTTCGGCTTTGTCAATGGCATCATGCACATCACCGTCTACACGATCTGCTACAGCCTCACGATCTTCAACAACTGCGAGTCCATTGCCAGCTACTTCTTCCGTTCCCGCATCACCTACTTCGGCGACATGATGCAGATTGTCAGCGGCTTCATTGGCGTCACTGTCATCTACCTCACGGCCATCATTCCCAATCATCGACTGGAGCGTTGCCTCCAGAAATTCCACACCATGGACGTGCAGCTGAAGACCGTCGGCATCAAGATTATGTACAGCAAAGTACTTCGATTCAGCTACATGATTCTGTTCTCCATGTTTATGGTCAACTTTTGCTTCACCTGTGGCACCTTCTCCGTGCTGTACTCCTCGCTGGTGGCCCCCAGCATGGCTCTGCACTTTACCTTTCTCATTCAGCACACAGTCATCTCCATAGCCATTGCTGTATTCAATTGCTTTACGTACTTGGTGGAGATGCGTTTGGTGATGGTAAATAAGGTAAGGAATAGCTACGTTTGCCCAAAGATTAAGCTTTCTGTGGAGAATATTTACAATTTCTTAAAGCATTTCCTCTACCATTCAATTAATTTAATTAGCGCTGACACTGACCGTGAACCATGGGCCATGAACCCGCCAGTTAGCTGGTAGAGATGGACGCTTTATAATTTCATAAACGTTGGCCCCACACAAAAGGGTGGGGTGGGTGCAGAACTGTCATTAAATAAAAACTTGCTGAATGTGTGATGGACGGGTTTCCATTACCTGACCTGTCAGCGGCGGAAAGTAGACAACAGCCAGCCAGCCAGCCATTGAGTCCAAGGTGTGGGTCCGCGTGTGTCATGAAAACTTCCGTAACTAATCAGGGAACTGAACTTTAAGGATAAAACTATAAAAGCAACTTGTGTCCATCGACTGGGTAACAGTTTTTTCGTTGCACTTACGATGAGTGGATTTTGGAGGGAGTTGTTCAGCCCGAGAGATGCACACGGCGCAGAGCAGACGCTGCTCCTGTGCACCTACATCCTTGGACTGACGCCATTCAGACTCAGGGGTCCGGCAGGGCAAAGGCAGTTCCAGCTGAGCAGAATTGGCTACCTGAATGCCCTGCTCCAGTTGAGCTTCTTCAGCTACTGCTTCCTCAGGGCACTCATCCAGCAGCAGAGCATTGTGGGATATTTCTTCAAGTCGGAGATCTCCGAGGTCGGAGACTCGCTCCAGAAATTCATTGGCATGACCGGCATGTCCATACTCTTCCTGTGCAGCACCATTCGTGTGCGCCTGCTCATCCATCTCTGCAATCTGATATCCCACATTGATGGGCATCTCCTGGATGTGGGAGTGTCCTTCAATTATCCGGCAATCATGCGGCTGCGGCACTCGCAGCTTCTGCTGATGTCCGCCGTGCAGTTGGCGTACTTGGCCAGCTCCACGTGGATGCTGCTGAGGAATGATGTGAGGCCCAGCTATCCCGTTGCAGTGGCCTTCTATGTTCCCCTGATCTTTCTGCTCAGCACTGTGATCCTGTTCGGTGCCTTCCTCCATCGCCTGTGGCAGCACTTTGAGGCATTGAATAAGGTTTGACAGCTCTTCATTTAATTAGCTTATCATTAGTCCCTTCACTTTTCATTAGCGTCTCATTAATCATAGAGATTCCAATCCACGCACTCGGTCTGCTCGTAGTCCTTTCCGTTACTCATACGCCATGTGGCTGTTCAATCGTTTGGTTTACATGACGCAGCCACACGACGTTTACACCTGCTATCGGGTCACCCTGTGGCTGGCACTCTGGCTGGGCATTGTGCCCTACCATGTGACGAGTGCATCCACCAGACTCTGTTCCTCCTACTTTGGCTACTTCAACATCATCCTTCGGATGCTCATCTACGTCGTGAACTTTGTGTACAGCATCCTGGATCGTCGCTCCTTAATGTCGAACTTCTTTCTCACGGAAATCTCGAATGTAATCGATGGCCTGCAGAAGGTCAATGGAATGTTTGGCATCATAGCCATACTACTGATATCCCTGATTCAGCGTCGGAAACTGCTGCAAGTGCTGGCCATATACGATGCCCTGGAACGCGAGTCGTTTCCGCGTGTCGGGATAACCCATCACCAGGGTGCAGCAGCGCGGAGGATGAATCGCTTCGTCCTGCTCATGGCTGGCAGCACGGTGGCCTACATCACTGGCAGCTTTCTCATGATTAGCACTAGGGATGCCGACACATTCTCCATGTCCGCCATCATAAGTTATTTCTCGCCGCATTTTATAGTTTGTGCCGTTTGCTTTATGACTGGCAATTTGATGATCAAACTGCACATTTACCTGAGTGCGCTGCATAAGGTTGCAATGGGTTTAATCTCGCTTACTTACTCATTTCAAATGTTGCATTTGGTTTCCTTGCAGGTGCTGAAGAATCTCTCCCATCAGTGGGACTCTCGCAGCCTGAAGGCAGTGGCCCAGAAGCAACGCTCCCTGCAATGCCTCGACTCCTTTTCCATGTACACAATCGTGACCAAGGATCCGGCAGAGATCATACAGGAATCCATGGAGATCCATCACTTGATTTGCGAAGCTGCCGCCACAGCCAACAAATACTTCACCTACCAACTGCTGACCATTATTTCCATTGCCTTTCTGATCATCGTCTTTGATGCTTACTACGTGCTGGAGACGCTGCTGGGCAAATCGAAGAGGGAAAGCAAATTCAAGACGGTGGAATTTGTCACTTTCTTCTCGTGTCAAATGATACTCTATTTGATTGCCATCATCTCGATTGTGGAGGGCAGCAATCGAGCCATCAAGAAGAGCGAGAAGACGGGGGGCATAGTCCATTCGCTGATGAACAAGACAAAGTGTCCGGAGGTTAAGGAAAAGCTGCAGCAATTTTCCATGCAGCTAATGCACTTGAAAATCAACTTTACAGCCGCTGGACTCTTTAATATCGATAGAACTTTATATTTTACGGTGAGTGGCGTGATGTAAACTAATTATATATTTCTGTAGATTAATTGAATCTTCATTCACAGATCAGTGGCGCGCTGACCACGTACCTCATCATTCTGCTGCAGTTTACGTCGAATTCCCCCAGCAATGGGAATGGCAATGCCAATGGGAATTATTATCCCTGTTGCGAGACGTTCAATAATATAACGAATCATACAAATTAGCTACTAACCATTATGGGGGAGTGCGTTGTGAAGTGTGAGCGTTGGAGCCGGTGAAATGTTATAGAATACAAGTACGAGTACGTCCAGATGTTAATGTTTATATTTTATGTTTGTGCAAGCAGAACATGTACAACAAATTCTTGTTGTTGTCTATTAATTATTGGCAATAAATAAAATTGTTTTAAAGGAAACTTCAAGTGGCATGTGGAAACCCAATGGTTCCCCCAGGTTATTGCTCTTAATATCTTGAGTGAAATTTTCGTTTCTGCGTCGGCTTTGCGTGGGCACTAAATGCTTTTCACGCTTAACATAAATTGTTTGCCAATTGTAATGTATAGCCTGTGGGCCAGCAGGTCACGAATCCCGCTGAACTCCCGCTGGCAAATTGTTTGCTGATGACCTTGTCCAACCGCCTCGCACGGTGGCTCATTTAAGCTTAATTAAATATTTGTCGCTATTGATACTAGCTTATTATGCTGTCCCATCCTGTCCCTCCATGTACGCAGTACGCACTGCCTTGTGGCAAAGGTGTGTGTGAGTGTGTGCCGCGAGACCCTTTAACGATTCTGATATATGAGCCTTGACTCGCGCTGCCACACGGGCAATCATCATCAGTGCGGGGCACTTCCTGCCGTTGTGTCAGTTTGCGGGAAATACGCGAGTCGTGCAGACGTTTTCTTTTACGCAACAGTTGGACTTCGGTTGGTTTCAAATGGCCTTTAAGCTGTGGGAGCGCATCTCCCAGGCGGACAATGTGTTTCAGGCACTGCGTCCGCTGACATACATCTCCCTGCTGGGGCTGGCTCCGTTTCGCCTCAATCTGAATCCGCGGAAGGAAGTGCAAACCTCCACGTACTCATTCGTCGCCGGCATCGTGCACTATCTGTTCTTCGTGTTGTGTTTCGTGACCTCTGGCCTGGAGGGTGACTCCATAATTGGCTACTTCTTCCAGACGAACATCACGCGGCTGGGCGACAAAACCCTTCGTCTGACCGGCATCCTGGCCATGTCCACCATCTTTGGCTTTGCCATGTTCAAGCGGCAACGGTTGGTCAGCATTATTCAGAACTACATTGTGGTGGATGAGATATTCGTGCGGCTGGGCATGAAGTTGGACTATCGCAGGATACTGCTGTTGAGCTTTCTCATTTCCCTGGGCATGCTGCTGTTCAATGTCATCTATCTGTGTGTGAGCTATGGCCTGCTGGTGAGTGCCACCATCTCGCCCTCGTTCGAGACCTTCACCACCTTCGCCCTGCCACACATCAACATCAGCCTGATGGTCTTCAAGTTCCTCTGCACCACGGACTTGGCCAAGAGTCGTTTCAGCATGCTCAATGAAGTGAGTTCAACTTTGCCATAGATCAGAGTTTGTTTTACACACTAACATGATAACTGTAGATCCTGCAGGACATTCTGGATGCACACATCGAGCAGTACAGCGCCGTGGAGCTCTCGCCCATGCATTCCGTGGTGAATCACAAGCGATACTCCCATCGTCTGCGCAATTTCATCAGCACTCCGATGAAGCGTTACAGTGTGACCTCGATTATACGCCTCAATCCGGAGTATGCCATCAAGCAGGTGTCCAACATCCACAATCTGCTGTGCGACATTTGCCACACCATCGAGGAGTACTTCACCTATCCCCTGCTGGGCATCATTGCCATCTCCTTTCTGTTCATACTCTTCGATGACTTTTACATCCTCGAAGCGGTGCTGAACCCCAAGCGATTGGATGTCTTCGAGACGGATGAGTTCTTTGCCTTCTTTCTCATTCAAATGATCTGGTACATTGTCATCATCATACTGATCGTGGAGGCCAGCAGTCGCACCATTTTGCAGAGCAACCAGAGTGCAGCCATTGTGCACAAGATCCTCAACATCACCGACGACCCAGAGCTGCGAGATCGCCTCTTCCGTCTGTCCTTGCAGCTCTCCCACCGGAGAGTGCTCTTCACAGCCGCCGGACTCTTTCGCTTGGACCGCACGCTCATCTTTACGGTGTGTACCGAGTGTGGGATTAAATTACAGAGTATTTCTATTGATTTGTATTCTATTGCGTTGCAGATAACTGGCGCCGCCACTTGCTATCTCATTATACTCATCCAATTCAGAGCCACGCACCACATGGAAGACGCAGTCGGAGCAAATGCCACCCACATTCAATTTCTTCATGACTAGCGATAGAATTTACACTTTGAATTGTTGCTTTTGGAGTTAAAATACAAATAAAGAGTAATTTATATGCAAATATTTTACAATTTGGAATAACCCAAACCCTGATCCTGTCTCAAATTGTGGCTGGTAGATCTGCAGTTACTCGGATTTTCCGTAGCTGCACTCTTTTATGGCAAATGTTGATTTTTGGCAATTTTTCAAGCGCATTGCAAGTGTACACCAAGGCAAGGGACAAGGAAAAATAATTGATATTCGCCGTCGACTTATGGTAACATTTTTTTGTATATATGTCCTTAAAAATGGCTGCGATTTCTGTCAGATATCATGACTAAAACGTATGGAAAAAGTTTAAATAAAGTTAAATGATATAAAGTATCTTTCAATCAATTTAGAAAATAATATAGGGATAATATTATATTTGAACTAAAATATGTATCAAAGCTCTGTGCTGTAAGGCGCGCTTTTCTCGTTTGAATTTCTTTTGCTTAACAGAACACACTTAACAGTGCAGTAACAGAGTTCGGTTCAGTTCAGTTCAGTTCGGTTCGGTTCGTTGGTTCCTCACAACCAGCTCACTTGCACGCTGTCCAGCACTGTCAAATTCAAATGCAAAAACCGTTACACTAGACAATATTTGATTTTGTAAAATGTTAGACAAGACCCACATGCACATCAGGAAATGTCGTGTGTTCCACTTGTGGCCGACAGCCTAATTTAGTTCTGTGCAACATAATCTGTTTCAGTAACTCACCTTTCACTTTCACTCAACTGAAAATACTAATCCATATCCGCACGCCAACACCACAACACCAACCCCTGCAGCGGCACACAGAGAGCCAATAATCCAATAAGGGAGCCAGCCCAGCCAGCCTGAATACTCGCTGAAGCATTTGGGTGTTCCATGCTCCGACATTTGACTGTTTTATTGCCTCAGCCAATTCCGCAGGCAGTCATCGTGGGTGGTTTTTTGTCTCGGATGGATTGGTGTTGCATTGGCTGATTTTTTGGCGCAGTTAGTTGGTTGAAAAATGGGTAGCTCTGTGATACTTTGAACGGTTCCCCGGTCAATTTACGCAGCTTACATGTGTAGTGTGTGCTGATTTGTACTCAGTGCTAATCTCAACGATTAGCCGCCTTGATAAGGTTTCGACAACTTGTTATCAATTTTGGTTTTTTTCATTTATGATTTGTTTACTTTGGACATGCGAAAGTGCACTCCGAATTCTAGTTGCAAGCAGAGATTAGGGATTTATGTACTAGAATATTTGCCCCAGTTTTGCGGTCAGTTGGAAGTGCAGCTTGAGAGATTCCACAGAGTTTCAGATTTCATTAAGTTTAATTCACAATTCAATGACAAAACTATGGAAAATCTAAAGCGCAAATTAACCCAAACACCCACACACACGCACACACATAGAGGAAGCTCTTCTCAAGCCGTATTGCCATGTGCCGGCGCACTTGACTGACATTCATCATCAGCAGCAAACGGCGGCCGCAATGGCAGCTGCTGCTCCGGCGTTGATTCTCTCTGCTCTGCTCTGCTCTGCTCTGCTTTGAACGCCGGTCGGTCGGTCACCGGCGGCTGTCGTTGTAGTTTCTGTGGACTCTCGTCCGCCGCACTCGTAATCAAGCTGTCGTGGCTAACGGTACTGCTCCGAGTCGCGTTCTCTCTTCCATCTATCCATATCCATATAAATATCCGTGGCAAGTGGCTATCCTACTGAACTAAAGAGTGTAAACTATACCTCCACGTGCTCAAGTGCCTTCGAGTGTGTCCAGCACATCCTGATCGAATATCAATTGACACCACAAGGATATACACGCATCTATCGTACTGGTTTCCCGATTTGTTTCTGTTTAACAAATACAAAGTGAGTGCACAGAGAGTGAGTGAGAGAGCAGCTATAATACGTACTACTTAGCTCTTGTGTGGCGGAAGCTCATCCATAAATTTCCGTTTTGACGGCTAAAATGTAGGTTTGATTTGGCTTAATCGCTGGCAGACTTCTTAAGATTACAGCCAATTAAAGAAATCGAAGTCGAATTGCCGCTGAGAACGGAGAATTCCAGTACAGTGATGGCTCCTCAGAGGGGATACATAAAGTGGAGTTACAATGGAGAACGTTTAATGGAGATTTGATTTCTGGTATTATTTATATTCATTCAGCTCGAAATTCATTTATTAAATTGAATCCAGCAGACACATCCCTTAGGATTGCTACATTCTCCAGACATTGCGCACCCAAAGATAGTAGCAGCTACAAGTGTGTTACATCCACCATCAGAGCTTTCACTGTACCTTTCTGACTGCATTGATCAGCATTTTTGTGCTTGTTCTTGTTTTGTGCTTGTTTTGTGCCTTGTTCCACCGCTGCTATTGTAATTTCTTTCTAGAGTAATTACAAACACAAAAAGTCGCACTTTGAATGGCTTACTTAGTGGGCAATACTCCGCTTAATATTGACAATTAAATCTGTAAATTAACAGCTGTTTGAGTGCTAAATACCAATACGACCCGGTGTGACTCAAGTTCAAGTTGAGTCCAAACTGAGATCCACACTAATTGCAGCTGCGTGGCTCTTGTTAGAAACAAATGAATACGCTGCACAGTGCCAACTGGCAAGACTCTTTGTGTTTCTGTTTCCCAAAATAAATATTTTATTTATAGGTTTAGTTTTGGTCTTTAATTGCTGAGGCTGAGAGCATTCAATTGCATGCTGACAAATGATGGCAAATTATCGAAAAAACTAAACATTAGGCTAATGTTAATGCCAATTGTATTTATTGCTTTGTTGCTGAGAGGAGACAGGGAACTATTTGCAAACTGCGTCGAAGCTACAAGTTGCGGTTGAGTGTGTCTCGGGTGGCTTTTGCGGCTTGCGTTGGGAAATTATTTGAGAATTTGAGAAGGTGTTGAATAGAGAGATGTATCACATTTCGACTGTGTTTATTCATCAATGACCATATCAACCAACCAAGCAAGAACTTGATTATTTTCTAACTTATTGGCACCTTTCCCAGAGAATTCTGCAATCTCCCCCAACAATTCGTTCACTTTCTCTTTGATTCTGTGCAAGGTTCAGGGCTCTTTGGTCACTTGCATTACACGCTCAATATGCAAAAATGCTAATAAGAAAGATCAACAGCCATGCACGAAAGACACTCACGATTCCTTAATTTAATAATGAATAACAAGAACATTTTTGAACTTAATTGAAGGCAATTATTCAGTGTTGGAGTCGTCCTCCTTCGATGTGAAAATGTGAATCTTCTGTGTTGTGTTGTATTGTGCTTTAGATCTAATTGAATTAACAGACTCATTTAGTGGCGAAGATGTGCGATGAGTTGTTCAGGAACCACCTGTTCAATGTCCAGTTTAATTAAAACATCTGTCACTCTCGTAATTTTGGCAGAGTGCAGTCCAACAATAAAAAGGCGCCGACAAGTGCTCGCGACAGTCATTCATCATTCAAAAAGACATAATCATATCAATTGAACAAGCTGACACGCTCCCAAATATACATACTGTATACATATGTATGTGTATATAGATTCGTATTCATGTGCAATAACGGAAAGTGTCAAAGACCCAACCATAGCTCACTGCGGGGTCAATTGATAGACTCAATTATGACGATATATCAGAGCGATGCGAACAATGCCATCAGACATATGTACAAAGGTACATATATCTCTCCCTTTATACATATTTCATGCTGATTTTTATTATATGTGTAGCTCTCTTGATGAGAACTCTTCTGAGAGATTGTGTGGATAGACAGATAGGCTGTGGTCTGGTCTGCTAGGTCTGCATTCAAGCGATAAGTGCAGTGCAGTTCAATTTCCTCAATTGTTCGCCAATGTCTTCCTCATGGGTCTGTTCACCTAGACGTGGTTCGAAATCCCGCTTATCGGAATGCAGTGGATACCCGCTATGACAAATGCCATCTCCACATACACTTATTGCTATTTATTGCATACATTTCCAATGGAAAACTCGCTGGCACGAGTGTGTGTACAAGGGAAGCTTCCAACTTATTAAAACGCTCAATCCATTGTAAAGTGTCAGGCGAAGCTTTGTAATTATCACCACTGATACGGGGGTAATCATCAGAATATACATACTTACTCGTATGTACATATTTATATATATGGATGGCACTTGCGTTTACTTTATAACTATGGGTTTTATTCGACACGAGTGTGAACATCAATTGAAAGTCACGTTTTGCTTAAATTGATTCAATTATATTGATTAAAAAGGAGACGTTAGTAATATTTTGTACTCGCTGCAGTTCCATCTCTAGGGTTCTTTATTTGTTTATATTTAATTCAATGCAAGTGTCAATTTTGAGTAAATAATATGGGTTTAAATATACAAATTTACTATATTTACATAGGTGCAATCATATCTTTCGTTCCCTGATTGAATAGCAATCAACGCTCAGCTCAAATGGTTGCTGCATGAAAACTGCACTTGTCGCAAGATGTTCCCTCTATGTCAGACATTAAGCAGGGATTTAAAGATATTCGAATATGTTGGCAGATGGGCAATTTAAATAGTTGTACTCAACGAGTGGCACAAGAAAGAGCTCCAGCATTGGGCAGCAACAAAATGTGTCCAGCGAACACTCTGAGTTATTCATGAGCATTCAAAGCTAAACATTATATTTACAATGCAACTGTTTATCAATTGTTATGTCACCTCACGCAAAGGCAGTTAGACCGAATATAAAAACTTTGATGGACAAACATGCAGAATGAGAGCTGGTAGTCGATCTGGTACGGAAAATGTAGAACCAAAAGTTGAAAGTATCTAAAAGCTAAGGCGAGATTGTAAGGCATCGCAGCAGCACAAATGGTGTCACAGATGGCAGATCTTTGACAGACTAAAACACGGCGCAGTCCTAACACTTCCTTTCAGACTATATTGAATTTGTCTTGAATTATTGTAGTAAATTGGCCCACAAAGTATGCAATACGTTTGGCATCAAGCAGTGTGTTGTGTAGACTCCATGTCGAATTTACATATAGGAGCGAGACAGAGCGGGAATTAAAATGGTAAAAGTCCAACTAAATGTATTGTGATTTGGCTAACAGCCTTAACTTGTTACCATTAATTAGTCCAGTAATTGTTGCTAATTGTCGGGTGATTATGGGGCCTTGCTTCATTTTTAAAAACATTTTGAAATATTTTTCCAATTTACACACAAACGTTTCTAGGAGAATATTACAAGCTAAACAAGTGCTTATCGTTAGAGGAGAATGGGATATTTAAAGTATGTTTAAATGTGTTTAAAAAACACTTTACAAATTATGAAAATAAAAATTACTTTTGCTGATTTGAATTATGTTAAATGTGGAAATATGTGTTCTATTGATGGACCTATTATATTTCTTTAGCATAAATAACAAAACCAAGCTGTCTGTAAATATTTATGTACATGAACTTCCCGCAGACCTTGACTCATTCCCATATGATTGCGATGTTTATCCCAATTGATGTGCACTTGTGGCTCTGTTTCTGTTTTCGTTTCCAATGTTACTAATAGAGACCGTGCATATCATTACTGTTACAGTTGGAATTACAGTAGTACACAAATTCACAGCGTGAGTGAGCCATGCCCACACAGAGCAGCGCCATGTGGGGCCAGAAGAGCAATCGCAAATTAATTATTGGCATATTCGGCTTCAGCCTGGGACTGTTTGGCATATTGTGCGGCATGTTCTGGGAGGACTTATTCAATTGGATCATGCACAAGGTAATTAATGAATGACAACATTCGGACACGTGTTGATGCGACCAGCAGCTGCACTTGATTAGCTTTGGCCGCCCCCAATTGGGAGTCAAAGAAGAAGTGCCGCCCCAATTGGCACGAGTCAGAGATCGAGGGGAACTTGTTGAGATTTTTAATCAATTGCAATTGTGGTGATCCACAGGAAATGGCTCTGGCACCCAACACACGTGTCTACGAGAACTGGAAGTCGCCGCCGCTGGAACTCAACTTGGATATTTATCTGTACAACTGGACGAACTCCGAGGAATTTAGCAATCTCTCCACAAAGCCCATACTCGAGCAGGTTGGTCCCTATAGATTCAGCGAGCGGCCCGACAAGGTGGACATCGATTGGCATCCGGAGAACGCTTCCGTGAGCTATCGCCGCAGAAGTTTCTTCTACTTCGACGAGGAGGGCAGCAACGGCAGTCTGGACGATGAGATTATCACTCTCAATGCGGTTGCTCTGGTGGGTATGGATATTCCTTCTCGTAATCCCTTACTTATATGATTTTCCCCTCCCCAGTCCGCTGCAGCCACGGCCAAGCATTGGCCCAGTGTCAAGCGTGCCATGGTCGATGTGGGTCTCAAGGTCTACGGCCCCGAGATGTCTGTGCGCAAGAAAATCGATGAGCTCCTTTTCACCGGCTACAACGATGTCATGATCGACGTGGCCATGGCCATGCCCATCTTTGGCGATGATGTCAAGGTGCCATTCGATAAGTTTGGCTGGTTCTACACTCGCAACGGCAGTGCCGATCTCACGGGTGTCTTCAATGTCTTTACGGGTGCCGATGACCTGGCCAAGCTGGGACAGATGCACACGTGGAACTACCAGGAGAACACGGGCTTCTTCGAGTCCTTCTGCGGCATGACCAACGGTTCGGCGGGAGAGTTTCAGCCACAGCATTTGAAACCCAGCGGCAGTGTGGGACTTTTTACGCCCGACATGTGCCGCACAGTTCCGCTGGATTATGTCGAAACGGTGGACGTTGAAGGCTTGAAGGGCTATAAATTCGCCGGTGGACCACGTTCTGTGGATAATGGTAAGGCATTAATAATACTTTGAAGGTTTAGCTCATGAAATTCTTGCTTTAGGCACACTTTATCCCGAGAATCTTTGCTACTGCGGCGGTCAGTGCGCTCCCTCGGGCGTGATGAACATCAGCTCCTGCCGCTTTGGTTCGCCAGTCTTCATGTCCTATCCTCATTTCTACAATGGCGATCGGTTCTTTGTGGATCAGGTGGAGGGACTACAGCCCAAGCAGGAGGAGCACGAGTTCTACATGATTGTAGAGCCAAATACGGGCATTCCACTCGAGGTGGCAGCCCGTTTCCAGGTCAACATGCTGGTGGAGCCCATTGACGGCATAGCCTTGTACAAGGATGTACCCAAGATATTCTTTCCGCTCATCTGGTTCGAGCAGAAGGTGCGGATCACACCGGAAATGGCCGATCAACTGAAGGTGCTGCCCATTGTCCTGCTGTCGGGACAGATCTTTGCTGGCGTTTGCCTGGCCATTGGCCTCGTTCTCCTCTGCTGGGCACCCGTCCAGCACATGCTGTCCTGGTGCCGGAGTCGTCGCTATGATCTGAAGACTCCAACGAAGAAAAACGGCGAACACAAGAGCCGCTCAAACTACTCCAGCGCCGAAGAGCTCAAGTCCAAGGCCTCCACTCTGGTGTGCGAGAAGAGTACCAGCGGCACCCCCGACAGCTCTCCGCTGCTCTCGCGCCGCCAAAAGGCCACCATTGTCCCGGCCAGCATGTGCAAGTCGCAGACGGGCGACAGTGTTGCCACCGCCTCGACCTCCGTCAGCGACAACAAACAGGATTAACGGAGCCACATCATTTCGCCAATCGCCATTTAGCTAGTTAAGCCGTCCTAGTGCTTTAGTCGTAGTTCCTAGTTTAGGTAGTACGTGTTTGCCAGTACCAAAAACCATCAAAATTTCAAATCCATTCCCAGTGCCTATGCCAAAGATGAGTTAGCCAGCGAGGCCATTCGCCAGGCATACGAATACCCTCTCTACATTCCATTCCCTAGTTTCTAACTGTCCAAAGACATTTTTATATTTTGTACAATTTTCTTAATCAAATTGTCGCTCTGCAGTTCGCTGGAAGCTGACAGATCTACAAAAGCCAAAATATCAGAGTATATTTTATAAACAATTTAATTTGCTTTTTATTTGCTTTGGGTAAAAGTGTACTTGAAACAGGTTCAAGCTCTTTTCCGTCTTGTCATTTCGCTCCTAAAATTGTATTAAATATTTTCCAAGAAACTCCTAAATTAAATTTCATTTAATTGTATCAACAAATTTGCACATCTTTATTGTTTGATCAACAGTTAATTATCAAATAGAACAATATAAGCGTACCTATGTCCGTGAGGTATACGAATATACATCATAGAAAACCCTAAAAAATATGATTGGTTCGTTCACGAACATGGGAATCTTTGAGCGTTGCTTTTACTTAATAATAGTACAATAATATTTGCAATATCACAAATGACCCGACTTAAGTGACTAAAATACGAATCGAAAGGGAGAGAAAGTATGGGTATTACGGGTAGGGTAACTTGGCGAAATTTGTAGACTACTTCTTGATTTTATAGCCCGCAGAGTAGCCATAGCTGTCAGCAACTGAAAGGTAAACATAGACCGAAATAAATTAGTTGATAAGCTAGGAAATAAGAGTAAGAGTAACCCACGTTCATAGTCCTTGGAATAACACTCGAAGAACTCTCCCAGAAGTTTGCCAGGTGGCAGTTCCCATGTTGCAGTGCCGCCATATTTCGGTGGCAAGGCGCTGGCCTCAATGTGAGATGTCAAAGCCTTGTAGTCCTTGCCATGGAAGAAGATCTGCAAATAAATTGTGGAATAGTAAATAATCAAATGGAATATCTAAGAGCTCTGAGTACTTACACGCTTGCGCAGCTTTTCGCGTATGAATGGCTTGAATATGGCAAAGAGCATATTGAATATGTACGAATTATTCACAATGTGAACTGCCTTCAAGCGCACGCAGATGCATTCCTGTATATAATCCAACAACATGGCCGCAAATGATGGTGTAAACTGTGTAATATGGCTAAGTGGCAGACCTACAAAAACGAAGATTAATATCTCTGAAATACCAATTCTTGTTGCTATTTACCTTCCATATCAATTATGACAACTGCTCCGCAAATTTGTGAATATGGTTCCACCATGGAACCCAAAACTGTCAACTGTATGCCGCGGAAGAGATCGGGCAACGGCACCTGCGAAGGTTTCCATTTTTCTGTTGAGAAAATAAATATTAAGAGAGATCTTTAAAGTGTGTGTTTGATGATAACTTACTTCCTGCTTCTAGCACTAGCAAACGACGACCATGTTGATCTCTTTCTGGCAATAGATTCAGTATATTTGCCTCAAATACATTGCGCAATTTTGAGGGGATTATATTCTCACAGGCAACGCCATACTTCAGTTTCATGTGATAGAAGTTCTTGAGCTGAAAAGGGAACAAAAGTGTTGGAGAAGAGAATTTATTGTAATTTAATGTCTTCTTCCCTTTGCTCTACTTTTGTTTCACATCTTAAATCTTAAATTCACTGAACACTTACCCTTTTCAGGGCGCTCTCTGGATAGTAATGGGTTGGACGCAAGAACATCATCATGTACTCATCATCCAGTGGCAAGTTTAAATACTTTTCATCTAAACAATACAGAAGCACACATCAGAAATTATATACCAAAGCTAGTTGATATTTCCTACTTACTTTGTATAAGTTCCCTTAGCTCCTTGATGGCCTGCTCCTTGTGCCCCGGAGTTTCCCGAAGTTCATCCTGTGCCTTCTTGAGTGCCCATTCGGGTGCCGGCTCCTTTTCCATGCGAATGCGAGCCGAGCCCAGATCAATGTATGGCAGCTGCTGTTCATCGTAGCTAATGCACTCTGCCTTTCCCATTTTAGTGTTTCTGTTTGGCTGATGATCGTCCGATCTGCTGTGATGTTGTTCACTGATTCAGGCTGCGAACGAGAATAAAATTGTTTAGGTTTGGGCTTAAACATTTTGAGTGGTTTGGCAAGCGTTTCCTCAAGTCGATTGGCACAACTGGGTTACTTCCGCAGCAGCAGTTCAATGCCTGAAACTGTCCAATAGGTCTGTCTGTGTGTCTATGTCCGTATGCCCATGTTTATGTATGACTCAATGCTGATCTTCATAGACCAAAAACGCCGAAAAATAGCCACAACGGAGGAAGCGGCTCGCACAAACAGCTAGACTTACGGTCAAAGGGGGTGCATGGGTGAGGAAAAGATCGTTCGACGAATAGACAATAGCGCCCAAAACTGGTCGCACAACGTGCGTTCGTCAGCCACTCAGATAAGTGTATACCCTTACCGGTAATGGGTATCAAATGTTGGTCAGGGCTCATGCAACCGATCGGAATCATTGGAGAAGTGCATAGAGGGTGAAGTCCCCGGAACATAATCACTTCAAGGATAGTTTCCGTTTGTTATTAATGATTGGATACTGATGAATATTTATCATATCTAGATCGAAGAACATTAGCCTTTTCATTTTGCTATTGATTGGGATTTTCGTTATTCATTTATTCATTTATTCATTTAAAGAGATTAAATATTCGTAATCAAACATTTATTATATTGAAACATTGCAAAGAATATTGCTGGAAAGAGTCTCCCATCTTCTGCAAGCCACAAATTTACTTTCCCCTTCAAAATATTTTATGCTTTTTTTGGCTATTCGAAAAACCGAAACGTGGTCCGCCCATTTGGCTCGCAGACGCCTTGGCAACACCTCGAAAAGACCATTCGATTCGGTGACGTAGCAATATGTGAGTTGGCAGTTATCTTTGCCCTGTCATGAAGGACTTGACAATGGCACACTAAATACCGTATGAGAAATGAGCGGAGAGTAGAGGAAGCAGTCGCTTAGAGTGAACTACCGAAAATTGAAGTGCAAATAGCAGTCCATTAAATCTGATTTAGTGCTGCTCTTGCGATTAAAGCAATTAGTAAGATTTTTATATTGGCTTTTCCTGTGTGTGTGTGTGTGTAAGCTTTTTAATATGTGTCTCGACATTGTGCGGTCAAGACGAATCAAGGTAAAAGTCAAGGCCAAGTTTGAGTTTTGTATATCTAAGAAACTCCGAAAGTCAGAGACCAATTATGGCCCGACATGCGTTTGCTCTCAGACTTCTGTGTGAAGTCTTTTGTGTGTCTTATTATTTTTTGGGTTGTCTCCAGAAACTTCGTCAATGAATCTCCGGGTTATTTATGCCTTGCTTTGCTTTTATTTGCTTTTTGTTTTTGTGTGTGTTTGGATTTGTTTTGAAGTTCAACAGCCCATAAAGTTATGCGCATATTAATTAGTTGGTCAGTTTTTTTGTTGTCTTTATTTGGGTCTGTTGTTAAATCCAATTAAATCAAGAAACAAAAACCAAAAGTGACATACTCCAAGTTATATATTAGGTGGAAGTCTATTTCTGTAGCGAGAAACTTTAATTTAAGTTCAATTAGTCGCATGCAAGATGTCAAGTCAAAATGGGGATAAATTTAAGATGAAAATATGACATAAAATCACTTCCCAGCTAATGCCATTTATGGCAATTACTATAATTCATGTTACGTTAAATTACTTTAATTTCAAATAACTAAAACGAGCAATTCAAATTCCAATTTCTGTATAATTTCATCATTTTCCAAGAGGAAAGGTGTTGGACAAATCTTTATACTGGGTGACCTTTGAGTTGTGCAGAAATTATTACATTTGATCACTCTTCTGCACTTCTTCACACAAAGTTTGTGTCAAAGAACTCCACTCTTTGTTAAGGCATTCCCCAATGTGGTGGAACAAGAGCACACTCAAGATGATTCAGCAGTTAAAGATCAGGTTCGTTAAGATATTCTGTTTCTGTAAGGTCATATATAAATATATGCCAATGTGCATGCACTTCTGACGGCAGAAGAAAGAGATAATCAAGTTTATTGTGACATTGTGATTTAGTTGAACAATGGAACAACAAAACAAGTTTTTGAAATGAAAGGGACATTTTTCGTGGAAGGGAAGATCCTGATTCTGGTTGACATTGAAACAACTCTTAATTTGGACATCTTTATGTGTACAGAAAAAACTGAAGTTTTAAAAGGGTGAAAGGAAGTGGTACCATTAAATCCTTGATATATAATTTACTCTTTTGTTCAACGAATCAATGAAAGGAAAATAACTCCCATTATCTCTTAACAGAAGATTCCGATCGTGCCTGAGTCACCATAATGATGTATAGTTTCAAGAACCTCTTTTGATAATGCATTAAATAAATTGCTATTGATTTTTATAAATTTTTAGATTTCCATTCACCTTTAACTTTGTCAGGCGATCATTTCAGCATCCTATTCATGAGCTACACAAAGTTTTCCCTTCCCTTTTACTTTTCCATAAATGTTAAGTACTTTGTTATAAGGTTTGGTTTTTGTTATTATCATACGACTGATTAATTTTAATATGTACCTATGCTATGCACACTGTACCTCGATCTCAACCTTTTCGATGTTTTCAATGGGAAAACTACTTGCTGATCAGACTGTTCAAAGTCTGTAGCCAGTCAAATAATTACTAAGGTACACCAACGGAGATAAACAGGCATTACCGGTATGTGCCTCACTCAACTTCACCCTGCCTCAATAATTATACAAAATACAATACAATTCAATACAATACTGGCTCGAGTTTGTATCTTACTTTTTGTTTTCGCTGAACTTTTTGTGGCCTTTTTCTTGCCACAATCCAAACTGAAGTGAGGCGTTCCTCTGTCACTTGCAACGAGCGACAAGCGGAAACTGTGGACCCAAGAAACGAACTGCAATTTGTCCGACTATCACTCTGGAAATACTGAATACATAATGCCAGTAGCAGTAACACTTCTAAGCTGATAACTGGTATCTGTCCGTACAAAAGAAATAAAGAACAAAGAAGCAATGGCACATTGCCATTCAAATTCCAATTTCTTTTCAAAGTCTAATCGGGGCTGTGTCCACACACCGAAGTCGGGGGCCCCTCCCGGACAATTATTGTATATACACAGTAGATTAGCTCACACAGCTGAATTAATCCGTAAAGCCAACAGTGATGTCTAATCGTATTCCAGTTAACAACTGCACAACAAAACAATAACAAGACGAGAGCCTTAAAAATGTCATAAAATTTGAAATGCACTTGATTCCCGCCCCTTGAATATATTAGATGTAAGGAATAAAAGCCACCATGATGTGCATAAATAAACCAGTCAATAGCAGCAACTATCTGGCTATTAAATGCAAATTATGGTTTTTTCTCAATTGTTTCTTTTTATTTTTTTGCAGTGATTGTAGTGCCACAAAAGATGACGGAGCAGTTGTTTGTTTAGTTGGGAAACGAAGCTTATAAAGGTCGAAGTTTTTAGTACACTTTGTGTGGAATTACACTTTAATCTTTGTAGTGTTTATTGATCAAGAACTAAAGGAAACATTGAGCGAGAGGAATGCTGGGTAGTTGTCTTGAAATCCATTTTATTTACTTTTCTTATACTTAAATATTTTTTTGAAGACGTTTTAAGACTTTTAATACCCTCTGAGAGTGTATAAAAAACTAAATGCATGACTTGCCATAATAAATTAAGCTTCACTTTTGATGAAGAGCTAATTGAAAGTGTCTCAATGAAGAGTTGGAGGGGAGGTCAAAATCACAGAATGATTGTGCCAAAAAAGTGCCAATCTTTCAGTTCTGCGTCAACTGCAACCCCGTTCAAGATCAGTTCAAGTCGCTGTCCCTGACTCATAAATGGGACACTCTACTAGATATTTATGTGGTGATGTGCTCTACAATATATTGTACAATGCCAGCGCGGATCAAAAGTCTAATGCCTATAACGTGCCTTGAATATCAATCGATTGGGCAGTGTAAACGATTTGAATTTGTTTTTATACTCGTACTCGCTGTGATATAAACAGATACGATTCCACTGCAATTAGCCGGTTATAAACAAATCAATGAAAGTAATCACAGCTTGATATGTAAATTAGCTTTAATTTCAGTTGAACGTTGAGGAAAGTTCTATAAGCTGAAGATGAATTGATCTTTTGAACTGTTGAGTGGGGCTCTAAAGTTCGACTTTATCACAATTAAACTGCATCTTCAATTTACACAGATAATTCTTTGCATGAAACCAAGTGGAATGGAAATTTTAGACTTTTAATTTGCCCTTTTTCTCTTAAATGATGTCATGCACTCGAGTGTGTTCTGAAGTATTATAATTCTCAGCAATTGACAGCCAAGTATCCAGAAAATTGTTCAGCAAAGCTTCCAGAAATACGAGTAAGGGTGAAATAATTGTAAATAAATATATAAATACTAGAATTGTTGAGTAAGAATTGTGTGTGGAATTCACACTGTCGTCATAGAACGTTTGGCAATCTTAATTTAAGAAAGCCTCCTCCTATCCCTTCTCAAACTCGTCTTGATGTTTGTCTATACCGGAACCTACCTAATCTATGAAACTCCCCCTGTTTTTTATCACACATTTTGGGGGCTTATCCTCTATCTGGGGCAAATAGACAAAACGGAATTTGTCCACAAAACTCACGCTTGTGGTCTCACTTATAGCATTTAAAATAGGAAACTCTCCACCCAAACGTTTGGTACGAGAATCACCCACTGAACAAACCGGCTCTCAAATACTAAATAAATATCATTCTATAGAATCAGGAATAGCCGGTTTCGTTTTCTTTCACAATGCCAAAACCAAAAGCAAAACCAACAGCAAATCCAAAAGCAACTCGATCCGCAGCAGTCGATCCAATCGAAAAGAGCAATGTCCATAAAAACTCGCCTTCAGTTCCCAAGTACAAATTACGACTTCTGTTGTGTATCAGAGATATGTAAATTTTCTAATTCAATAACGGCGTTTATTCTTATGTATGTTTTTTTTGCACCTACCAACAGTATTTTATCCTTCACTTGACAAAATGTTAACAATTAAGGCAAACTCCAAAGCCCACACATAAACAAACGCCTAAAAAAGATGTCTAACTGGTTTTGAGTTCACTTAACTAACTCGAAAATTCGTAGTCAGCAGCAAGGTCAAATTGTTATAGAATACCCGCACTTGTGTGCATTGCATTAGATGTATGGATGGTAAGAGGGCCCAAATTAGTTAGCCAAATATGCCACACAATCGATTGGAATTGGAATTGGAAAACACGCACAGGCACTTTTTTTCTGGTGTCATTAGCACAAGTGGTTCGACAGTCGCTGTCTGAAATATTTATAGGCTTCGGCGACCATCGATCCCGTGAATCAGAAAACACAAATTAAAACCCAATTGAGCGGAACGCCAGATCCATGTGGAATGTGCCAACAAGTGCTGAAAATTGCCAGTCAGTGTGAGCAGCAGCAGCAGCAGCAGCATGGTGTGTGTCGTCAATCAATTTACATTTAATTTGGGTTACATTTGCATGGAATTATATGCATACATATGCACACGTATACATGGATATGCAGGTTGCAGTCTAATCAATTGCAATGGAAACACTGCTTCGAAGGATGAAATACGATCTATAGGGGAAATATATATTTTTTGTTGCATTCATGCATCTGGAACAGCCTTCAGTGTGAATGAATTAACGAGAAGGTTGCATTGGAACTATTTAAAAAGAACAACAAATAGGAATGCAGAACACAATAAAACGGGAAGACTTGGCTCATTGTTGAGAGGAATTATCTTATAAATGAAATGGAAACTTTTCTTAGATAGCCCAAAATGGTATAATAGAACTCCATTTCTATAAGTTTAAAATATGTATCGTCATGCTTATAGAAAGATTTATGAATGCAAAGAAAATATCACATATTCCACAATCATCTTGAAGCGAAGGTAATCTTTATAGAGATTCATTCATTTCCTTTTTAGCTATCAAGGCACACAAATCAACAATATAATTCTCAATCATTTAAAATTGTTCTCTACTACTCTTCTAAAATACTTATCCCACTATGTTTTAGTAATATGTAACACTTCATTGCCTTTACTTTCTTTTCTTTGTATATTTTGTAAAATTAAAGTTTCTCTTTTATCACTTAAAAGTTGAAACGGAATATTTAATTATTTTAATCACTAAACTCTTTGCACTTCAATTTCCCCCCCACTTACTGGTACTTTAATAACTCTCATCACATTTTCGCACAGATCCAGTAACAACATGATAACTTATAACTGATCTCATCGCATCTCAGACATGAGACTTATTTTTAACACGAAAGTGTTGTTAGTTTTGTAAGTCGTAAGCATCCTCATCTATCCGGTATGCAGCTACCGCATTTGCCTTTGGCAATTTCCACTTAATGAAATCAAACAAAAAGAAAAACTTTACAGCGATATTATCATCTATTGAGGAAGATCGACGTGCTAAAAACACCCCCAAGCCCCGCCCCTGTGAGTGCATCTGAGATCTGTGAGAATGCGGCAGCTTAAAGGGGGGAAGTGCAACAGCTTATGATAAATTTGGACATGGTCTGAGGACAGGTCTCTCGCTCTCTATCTCTCTCTCTCTCTCTCTGTGGCGTTCGCTGTTCGGAATCAAAGCGCCTGCGCACGCCTGACGAAATGCATTAAACATTGCAGGCGGCAGTGGCAGTGGCAGGGGCAAGCGGCAAGTGGTAATTGTTTTTATGGCCAACAACCACAGAGCCATAACTTGCCTGGTGGCAGTCAAACAGACAGAAAGAGACGCCACTCCACTCCGCTCCGCTCTCAAAGGCAGAAAGTGTGTCAAATGTTGCTTCGCGCATGCGCATAATCCAAAACAAAAACAACAATGCCCAAAAAACATTACCTGGAGCCCCCCAGAGCACACACACACACACACACACAGCCCCCCATCCTAAGCCGCTATGTTAACGCAACTTACCGCAAAAATCAAACCGAACCGAACCGAACCGACAAAGATCTGCACGGACCGAAAGTAATATATAATATTTTTGGCAACGGTACTTCGAGTACTGTAAGAGTTTTCACGTTTCACTGTAAAAGTTTTTTTGTTGTGCGCAGTGCAAGGGCGGAAACGGAGGAAAAGCTTCGAAGGCAGCACGAACGCGACAATATCCAACAGTGGGCTGGGACAATGGGAATGAGATAATATCGGAGCGGCGACGTCCAAATGGCAACGCGGCTGAAACAGGTATGACGAATAGCGCTCCCAAGCTCTTCTTATTAATTAACTGGCCAACTCAAGCTTGACAAAAAAACAAAAACTAAAAAACAACAAATAATACAGAGTGCGTAGAAATGTAAACTCAGAGCGCGCGCACAACATTTATTGGCCACAGTTAGTACATCTTGGCTCAGGTTTAAGCAGTGCTGCCAACTCATCGGGGCAATAAAAAGCTAAGCTATCTTAGGAAAAAGCTAGAAAAAGCCAAACTATTTAAAATATAGCTGCTCGGGCTGCTGTGAATTAGCTAAATTGGCAACACTGGCTCTAGATTTCAGTTGAGTGTGCTCATTTTTGCGTTATAAAAGAGAGCCACAAACTTGAGTGAAAAAAATTAAAGAGATAATTTAGGGCGGAATTTGAGCTTATATTCCGAAATATACCGAAATACCAGGGCTGAAAGACAATAGGATGGCGCGTAAAATTCAAACAAAAAAATGCAAGGAAAAAAGATGTGAAACACATATGGGAACATTTATTAGTTTAAGCTATTTACCCCAGAATTTTGAAATACAGATCATCTAAAAGAATGTAGAAGGACATATTCTTATTGTTTTAGATACATTTATTTAAAATAAGATGAAAAAGTATTTTTGTCTGTTACCTTGAGTGTGGATAGACATGGCAAGTACGTCGGATAGTAATTCAATTTTCTCTTCTCACTCATGAGTGAATTTGGCAGACTCAGCAGCACTCGTGGCGAGCACCGCAGGTGCGTTGCTGGTGCGTCGATTTGATGGCACCACAATAGCTATTCTTGTTTTAGTTGGAGTTAAAGAGATAATTTAGGGCGGGATTTGAGCTTATATTCCGAAATATTCCGAAATACCAGGGCTGAAAGACAATAGGAAGGCGCGTAAAATTCAAACAAAAAATGCAAGGAAAAAAGATGTGAAACACATCTGAATCTGTTCAGATTCAGAGCTGTTGCTCTTGCTCCTTCCGCTTCCACCACAAATCGTGAAAAAGTGCTCCTGGCTTGCACACGGTAATGAATGGCAGAAGACAAGTTGCTTGGAGTTTCCACTCCGGTTTAGGTTCCTTAGATGGAAAGAGTATAAACGAAGTGCATCGACTCTGGTCCTTTAACTTACCTGAATATTCAATTATGTTTTTAAATAGTTGCTTGCCCCAACCAACAATAAACTGGTTTTAATAAGCTTGGAGATACGTATATCAGCCTAAGGTGCCTAATCTCTCAATTAGCTACACATGTATAGGAAAGCCCCCTTGGGGTTCGAACTTTGCTTCATGCTTCAGTAATTTCAATGGTTTTTTGCTTCCAAATTTGTGCTGATTGTAGCACTTGATAATTCCAAATTTTTAACGTTCTTTAGGCCCGCCCAACTGAAGAGCCTGAAGGTCACTTGGGTGAAGTTCATTGCATTTGTTCTTGGCAGTTTCTTTTGCTTCATTTGACCGTGTGTGCAGTTTTTTGGCCTTCTTGGGAACAGCTTTCGGTTATCTGCTTGGCTGATAAATATTGTGTTGCCAGTTTTGAGCTATCTAAATTATTGCAGCCATAAACAATTGTGTCGTGCCGAAGGGGCATGGAAGGCGTTCGTCCATAAAGATAATGACCGCGTATTGAGAGACAAATAGCCTGTTGATTAATGACATAATTGTGTTATGTAAACACGGTTAGCCAGGTAAAAATTATCCAACAAAATGGAATAGTTGAAGCTGACCAAAAATGATGTATATATTAAATATGAATTAACTACAGAAAATGTGGATTTATTGTTGTTCTAAATCAAGGCTTAAACAACTATCGAAGACAGTTTTGCAATTGGCGAGTACTTTGACTCTCTGGTAAGGTCAGTTACGGTCGATGAAGCGTCAAGTTTATTCATATAATTACAAGTACTTTGCCATACATTGTTTTGGCTGTTTGCTAAGTTTCAAAAGTGGTTTCTAGGCAATAAAAACAAACACCGATATGCGGTTTCTCGGTGTAAGTTGCTAAAATGTTTCAATTTGTTGCTGTAAAATACTTTTACGACGTCATAAATAAATACAACAATTTTGGGAAAAAGTTCCCAAAATGGGTATTAATTTAATAGCTAGAATAAATAAATTAATTATGGCTTAAATATATTTACTTCCCCTTAGGGGACTTTGGCAGGTGAATTTGGCGAGTGTTGGCCATTGGTCAGTAATTCATGGAATTTTCAACGTTTACCTAAATATGACAGAATTCGAAAAAATAGTTTGTTAATCATTATTTAAATACTATTCAGTTCTGTCCATTCTTGTTGTCAAGTACCCCTCAAAAAAGTATCCCTTCGAGTGCCATTTAGAGATTTTTGCCATTCCCAAAACTTGGATATTATTCATTCATGGTTTCCCCCTCGTTAAACCCTAAGTGCATGTACCATGGGCATATACATTTGTAGTTTTTTTGCTTTGTTTAGCTTAGGTTCAAGCCCATGCGACGTCAGCGATTTCGATTGAAAAAAGTCAAAGTCTAACTCTGGTCTGGGCGAGAGACATGTGTTCGGCTGGAAACAAATGGAGCTACAAGTGAAAGCATTTTGGTGACGGAATGATCCACCAATCGAATGAAACTGATTTTGTGTACTTTGAGCAGTTGTTAATTATAAACCTCTTGCAACAATTACTCAGCAAGCAAAGTTCTTTTGTTTTTTTTACACCATGAATGCATGTATCGAGCTGGTGTGAAGCTCTACCCCTCAGATGTTCAAAGTGCAAGTTACAGTTCTCGTTCACAATAGTTTATCTTAATTTGATCCACATTTCGATATAAAATTATTAAGTTTATTCAGGTCTTTCAGCTGTTACTTTTTCGCTTTTAACTTTTAGCTTATCTTGTCGGAATGCATGGAAACTTTTTGTTATGTGTATGTTGCAAATCTTTATCTTAAAACTTGGCTATGGCATTGATGGAAACGTGGAAGGGAAGTGATTTGTGGTACGAAGGCCATAAAATTAGGAATCAATTTCCCAGTCATTCCAGCGATAAGTCCAACATTGTGCTGTAAATAATTAGGTTGTTGACTTACTACGGGAACATAGAAATATTAGCATGGAATTGTGTAGCTCTTGCAGCGCTTTTGTCCCACTGTTCCGAAAGAGCTCGATGCCAGGTCTGCCGTGTGGGGCCATAAGATAAGTTTGTTGATCGAATCTTTCGTATTTTTTGCTAGTAAATCAAACGAAAATCGAACAGAGTGCATTCGTGTGCGTTATCTTTTTAACAAATGTATTTAAATACTCATTAACAGAGGGGGCAGGGCAGGGACAAACAGAAGCGAAGCTCGATAAAGCAGCTGATGTCGCAAAAACAGCAACAATAGCAAAATAAAAAACGAACAAAATGCTTAGCAACTGAAAAAAAAGTAATCCAAATGCTCGTAAATAAAAACAAACAACAAATACTTGAGCGAAATCGAAAACAATGAAAGAACAACAAAGAATGAGAAGCAATTGCGACTAGGGGATACCCGCTAATTAGATGGACATATATCAAATTTGTTAGCAATGAACTACAAATATATTTCCGTCCCAGGTCGCAGTATTAAATAGATATTATTGAAGATTGTTAGCATTTCTGCTAGCTCCCCTAGTATGATCCTTGATACAGATCCATCTTCAGCTTATATACCCTCATTACCACTACCAATGGATACTTACACGTCGTCGCCTTAGCCAGCGACAACAAATCGTATCAAGTGTGCAGACTTTGCCCTATGACTACACAAAGTGTACAGCTAAGCAACACAACACACATTATACGATATCTGTTTTGTGAGGAAATGTAAGAGTGTGCCTGAGAATGAGTATAAGTCGACTTTAGCAAGGGGCTGGGGTGATATTGCGGGTATGGCAAAACAAAGAAGCGAACACGTCCCACAATCACACGACAAACGGAATCCAATAACAATATCAATGACAAAAGCAGCAGCAACAATGATAACGTTCATCACACGATACAATGCCCCAAAGAACTAAAAAGAAAGAAAAACAAAACAAAAAGGTGTGAAAAGAATAACCCCGCCAACTCCCACCCTCCGCTTTGCAACGATCTGCTACCTGCTCGCTGGCCCAATAAAGCTCAAGGAACACCAATAATCGATCAGTCAGCGCAGGGTGTATTAGGATAGGGTGATGTATGCTTGTGAGTAGCGTTTGTCATTTGATCTGAAACTCTTTTGGCAGTGAAATCTGTGACAAATTCGGAGACAACATTTAAGAGAAAAATTTGCGTCGCTTTAGAACAAAAAATTTCCCTACCTTGCATTATTATACCTTGATTCAGCGCTGATTAATGCATCTGTCGCTGCGCTGCCGCTGTCGCTGAAAGCAGAGCAAAAATGCATGTGAAAGCAGCGCTGCTTTTACTGTCTGCCAGGGCCTGTCGATCAATCTGCCTACGCCGATGCTGCTGCCGCTGCTCGGCCGCCAGCTGATAAGGATTATGAGCTGTGATTAGAATACTTTCGATGTCGCTGCCATGTCTCTGCCGCTGTGCTCCTCCTCTGCTGTACATTTAACAAGAACATGAAAAATTCGATAATAGCCATAGAAGCAAAATATTTTTGGTCTCTCTTATCATTTGACTTGAGCACTCTGCTTTTGGACTTTAGTCGAAAGTAGTTTAGCACACCCTGTATAATAAAGGGAACAGACAAGGGGTAGATGTAACATTAGGAACTTCGGGAAAGCGTATAATTTAAAGGTAATTTACAGTAATACTTGCTGGGAAAAAGAATAGTTGAAAAAAGTGTTCCTAAATTATACAGAATTGGAAATTAATCTAAAAACCATAATAAATTCAAGAATCTTTTGTAAAACATATTTTTGGTCCATCCCTTTCCATCAATTTAATATCTATCATGCATCAAAAATAGCAATAAACTCAATTAATTTTCCATAGAAATTCCACTTTAAATATATCAGAAAATGTAATAAAATTTGTATCTATAAAACTACAATCCAAGGAAACGTTTTTCTAAATTCAAAATTACATTTAAGCTTAATTTGAGCTCAGAAATCTTTGGTAGATAACAATCTTAGGCATCTACACGGTAATAGCAAGTCAACCTCGAAGCGTCAACATGATGTTTTATTGGCATTATGTGTAGCTTCACAAACTGTGAACTGTTTCCGCTGTCAGTAGGCAGGCACGGCTGGCATGGCCTTTCTGTAATTGCTTTTTCATACTTATAATTTTTGGCAAATTTACTTTACTTATCACGCTACAACTGAAACGGGGAATGGAGATGGGAGGTAGGCTAAGGTAAGGGGTTCAAGATCTGAGCCACATGTCAACATCGTCAGGCCTCAATCTCAACGATCAATGACGACACAAAAAACCCAGCCGGGAATAGGTCTGGCCTAAAGCTCGGGCTTGCGTTTGGGCTCGGGTTTGGGGTTCAGGTTCATCTGGGGCTGCACTCTGTGTAAGGGCGTAAGGTGATTGACAGTCGGAATGGTGACCTTTTTTTCGCTGTTGAAACTCTCTTTCTCTGTCTTTCCAGTCAACGCTCGTCCAAGAGATAAGGAATGGAATGGAAGTCGTGTCGAATCAAGTCAAGCCCCAACGTCGACGTCCACCGATCGCGCTGCTGCCTCGCTGCTTCGTTGCTGCCAAGTCGAACTGCTTCGTATCGCTGTACGACGCCATATATATAATATAGAAGTTAACTCACAAGGGTTTCCAAATGCAAACCGAAATTCAGTTGACTAGAGCCGCACGAGTCGCGAGGAAGCACAAACAAAGAACACTACTAGAAAAAATATCTAAAGTTTGCTGAAAGTTAAGAGCCGAGCACTAACCGCTAGACTTAGGTAAATACAACCAACTTAAAGTCAATCAGGATGATTGATCAATCAATGATTCGTTCGTTGAGCAAACAAATCAAAAGTGATGTCCAAAATTGTACACAAAATTAAGATGCAATTTTCGAAAAATGCATTCAGTGATCTCCAGCAAAAATTAACCGCTTAAACGCATTTCTAAAACACGCAGGCCACCCCCGCACAAAGTAATACCAGAATCCAAATACAAATCCAGAAGCTACAATGGCGGCCAGCGATATCAGCGAGGAGGCATTCAATTTGCGTGTTGGCTATCTGAAGCCCGAGACCGTGGAAATTGCACGCGTGGAGCTGCGTGAGACAGAGGAGGTGAAAGCCGAGGCCATCCTGAAGCTGCGGGAGCTGCTGAAAGCCACACCCGAGCTGCACTACAAGGATGACGATGCCTTCCTCACGGTCTTCCTGCGCGCCTGCCACTTCTATCCCGAAGGCGCTTTGGAAAAGGTACGTCAATACAGATCCTGAAAGTGAACCACTTCTGGGATTGTTACTCCTTGAGCTCATTGAACTTGCATTCCTCTGTACACATTTTATGCATGCAGAAAAGTTTCCCTTCCTCTTATACATCCATAAAATCCATTAAATTCTTTGCATATCTTTTAGTAACTGCATTTCTTGCATCTCTTGCTTTTAATCATTCACTTTTTTCAAACACATAAATCGAACGCCTTAGAAACAAGACCCTATGGCTGTCACGCTATCAACAAATGGCTGACGAAGTGACTTGGTATTTTTGTTTTTCTCTGTATTTGAAAGATAATCAAATGTTTAGGGCGTCTCAAGTCTCTTATCGGCAGCAAACATCGGACAGAGACGAGAGTTATTGGAAAGAGGAGGACTGTAACCTAAGTTCAAGCAAAGGGATAGAAGCTGAAGAAAAGATTAGCTAGAGAGCAATGAATTGCATTGAAAAATATAGAGATACGAGGGAAAGCAGAACACAAAGTATTCCCAACAATCCTCTAGTGGTTCCATCTTCTTGTTGTTAACCAACAACGTATGATCCACAAATGATCATTAATTAGGTACAAGAAAAAAAATCGTCAATGTTCTCATTTCTCGCTGCTGATACGCTTTTGAACCCGCTGACACAAGTAGGCAGTCGAGGAGGGAGTCAAACGATAAGCGGATTCGATTTATAATGGGATTCATTCAATTCATATACCAAGTACATCTGTACATATATTATATGTACATCTTTTGTAGAGAGTAATGTACTGAATACACAACACCAGTCGCCAGGAGACTTGACCATATCATGCCACAAATCCGAGTCACGCCATTTTGTTTTTATCATCATAGGAAGCCGGCATCGCATACGTTTTATAAGCATTTTATTGTTCTGTCCAACGGTCAGAAGAATGGCCTTATCGATCGTCCGATTGTAATCTAAGAATGTGCCGCTACTAATGCTTCCTTTTGGCAACTGTTTTTCAAACTTTGTTTTTGCAGATGAAAACCACCGCCACGTTCCGTAAGGAGTATGCGTCATTGGTCCGTGGCCTGTTGGTCGATCAGGTGAAGGAGAAGTTCATCAAGGGCAGCGTGATCAATGTCCTGAAAAACTGCGACCAGAAGGGACGTCGTGTGCTGATCGTCAACTGTGGCAAACTGTGGGATCCCAGCGAGATCAGCAGCGATGAGATGTTCCGCATGCTCTACATGGTACACATTGCCGCCCAGCTGGAGGAGGAGACCCAGGTGCGTGGTGTTGTCTGCATTATGGACTTTGATGGCCTGGCCATGAAGCAGGTGAAGGCACTGTCGCCGAGCTTCTCCAAGCGACTGCTCACCTTCATCCAGGAGGCAATGCCGCTACGCATGAAGGAGGTGCACTTTGTCAAGCAGCCCTTCATTTTCAACATGGTGTGGTCCCTCTTCAAGCCCTTCGTCAAGGAGAAGCTGAACAAGCGCGTAAGTGTTACCACATCCATAAAGCAAGCATTGGGAATTTTACTGATTTTGTATCTTTTCTTTTCTGTTTTGAAACAGATGCACTTCCATGGCAGTGACATGAAATCCCTGCAAAAGTTCCTCGATCCCTCCATCCTTCCGGCCAACTACAAGGGCTCTCTGCCAGCCATCGATTATGGCGGCCAGGAGTGGTTCCCCGCCCTGGAGAAGCAGTCCCAGTACGTCTCCGAATGGAGCGAGCTGGGCCCCGCCCAGTGGTAATCCATCCACACCACACCACACCATCTCTCCAAACATTCCAGAGGTGGCACTCGATCCTAGCTTATCCTTACTACATTTGTAAATACTTGCAACATGTGTTTTCTTAGTTCGTAACATTTTGGCAATTAACTAGTTACATAATACTATAAACCAAACAGAAAACTAAACTTTGATTGTGGATTTTGTTGGGCATACTCTGGGGGAAGATGCAAGTTCTTGGCATACTTTGGGGGAGATTTGAAGGGTAAATTGAATATCTTTGCTACTAGTTAATTTGTACTAAGAATTCTTTGGAAACCTTTTACTCACGCTGATTATCTATCGGGTACTTATTGGATATCATACGATTATTTGTATACATCATTTTCAGATTACATTACTAAGTACGTTCGATTTTACCAGCCCCTCTTTTAATTTACTGAATTATTAATTTACTGAAGTTCCCCTCTAATTCAACAACAAATTCGAGACCCTATCAACTACTCTACCAATTTGGAAGTTATTTCTATCACCTATCAAAAACAAAAACCACATTTTTGCAGAACTATTTCACTTAACTTTCAGTTGACTGATTCACTTTGATTTTCAGCTGCCTATTCTCTTAGCGATTATATGCAGTTAAAGGTACTTTTATATCATGAATCCGGACACTTCACCAACTACTTCAATACTACCTATAGGGGTACTACCTGTTCCCACTTCACCAAATGATACAAAATACTTATGTTGAACAGGTCTTCCCATTCAAAAGTATTTACGATTCAACAAAAATTACAATTCAACACTGATTCGAATTAAGAGTCTATTCAAATAGAGAAAGTACTTAAAGTCCTTAATAACTCTGACTTGTTGAGCCACGTTCCCGAATTCTGATTACTACGGATACACTAGAAACTTAATTCCTTAAGAGCCGTTGAGGCTCTTATGCTCGCTCAGATTGAGATATATCCCTCTACAATATTGCGAATATTAATTGCTAATTAATCTATAAAACAATTATCTATAACCCCAGCCAAGATCGTAACATTTTCGTAACAAGAAGCATCCACATATGGACAATTCAAACTAATACGAGAATATTCCCTAACCGTTTTCAAATGAAAATCCTTTTTGCGTATCTTTTGAATAATTGGCTAGTACATGCGTGCGAGTGTGTGTGTGTGTGTTATGAGTTTATTTCAACGCGTCCTTGGACATTCAACTAGTTAGCCTCCATTTTCATAGTGGACATGATCAACAAATTTTGATTAAAGCATAAACTATTATATATATTGTATTGTATTGTATTATAATGTATATCAAACGGAAATTTACAGCTCTGAGAGTGAGTTAATTCGAATATCATTCATAGTATTATTGCGTTTCCCCAGATAAGACACTACACCGAATGTTACACAATTAAATATAAATAGCGCTAAGAATCAGATGAGTGCCAGTGTGTGTGCCAGGAAAGACGGCAAAACCAATCGAAAATTTACAATATTTTATACGTGGACGCGTACGCTCGTCTATAGGGGGTAACATCGAATAGAATCCATTTTATCCAATTTTGGTTTCGTTGGCGTGTCCCTACGAGAATCTTGTGGTGGAGTTCGGGTGGTGGGTGTTGGTATTGGTGCCGGGGCCGATTTACAATATCATGTTCTGGGGATCCTCGATATAGTCGCGGAAATGTTGCAACCATCTGGCTGCCACAGCGCCATCCACCACCCGATGATCGGCGCTCAAAGTGACGGTCAGCAGATTGATTTCCTTGAAGCTGAAATGGAGACACAAAGATTTTATCTTAAGGGTTCGCAGAAGATCGCTGAATGGAGCTCACCCTTTCAGGCTGTCTGGATCCAGAACCAGCTGTTTCGTTGTGGTGCCAATGGCTAAGATGCACGATTGCGGGGGATTAATCACGGCGCAGAATTGGTTGACACCTGAGAAAAAGAGAAGCAACATTTTAAGTATACTTTCTGCACAATTTTGAAAGAGATTTCCATACCGAACATGCCCAAGTTGGACACTGAGATGGTGCCGCCCTGGAACTCATGTGGCGCCAACTTATTGGCGCGCGCCTTGGCAGCCAGCTCCTTGACATCCTTGGAGATATCTAGAACGCCCTTGCGATCGGCACCAAAGATAATGGGCGTGATGAGACCCTTTTCCGTGGAAACGGCCACAGAGACATCAACATCGTCGTACTGGCGTATGACCGAGTCCATCCAGGCTGAGTTGGCCTCAGGCACCTTGAGACTCGCTATGGCAGTGGCCTTGATAATAAAATCATTAACAGAGACACGGGCGCCCTGCTTCTCGTACTTCTTGTTGACCTTGGCGCGGAACTTCAACAGCTGCAAAGGTGGGAAAAGTGAGTTGGGAGGACCATTCCAATTTGTCGCTTACTTACGTTGTCCACTTGGCACTGCGCCGTTACGTAGTAGTGGGGCAGCTGAGTCTTGGACTCCAGCAGACGCTTGGCAATCACCGCCCGCATGGTGGTCACCGGGATGTCCGTGTAGCGGGCACCGGGTGCTGCCTTGGGTGGTGCCGATTTAGCTGCAGCAGCAGGCTGCTGGCCTGCAAGATCACCGGATTTAATTGAGCCATGGACGCCACTGCCTTTGCCTGCACACAAAAGCCGGGGATTAGTAACAGAACATTTGGACGGGGACTAGGTGGGGGGGTAAGAGGTATTTAGTCGAGCGGTGCATGCACACAGCAGGATGTGGATGAGTTGGATATGGGATGTACAACCTTGTAGGCGCAGCTTTTGTGCTTCGGCTAGTTTCTTGGCCATGGGGCTGGCATACACCCGATCGCCACGTTGTTCGGCAGCGGTCTGGGAGGTACCTGCGGGTGCGGGTGCGGGTGCTGCTGCTGGCGGTGGTGCGGCAACTGGTGCAGGTGCAGCGGCTGCTGGTGGCGGTGGTGGTGGGGGTGCTGCTGCAGCTGCTGGCGCGCCAGCCGGTGCATCATCCTTGAAGTCCTTGAATGCAGCCACGCTGGCCTGATCGTTCACAATGATGCACAGCAGCTGGCCAATGGGCACATCCTTGGTGCCGCCGGGTATCAGGATCTTGGCCAAATAGCCCTCCTCCGGTGTCTCGAAGCCCATGGTGGCCTTGTCGGTTTCAATTTCACACAGAAGGTCACCTGAAAGTGGCAGTTGTATATAAATGGATAATAGATTATGACCGAAGCAAAAGCCTACCCACCTTCGTTGAGTTTGTCGCCCTCCTTCTTCTCCCAGCTGACAATGGAGCCTCGCTCCATGGTGGGCGATAGGGCAGGAAGAGGCACACGGAGATGTTCCGGCAGGCTGGCATAGTTGCGGGCAAAATTATAGCTCCAGGCGTTGACCGACCGGGGCCGGCTGTTGATCAATATGGACCTGCATCGAGAATTGTTCGTGAATTTTGCATCCATTTACTGGCTGTTCAATCAGCTGATTGTCTGATTGTTTATATGTTCATGCACACAAACACACACACACATTCACACGTGGAAAGCACACGGCAGCAAATTTGGCCAACATTTCCATCATTATCAGCATTATCACGCATCATATGTATGCACGACCTTGAGGCACGACAACGACACGCACTGAAACACGCTCACGCACACATTGCTAAATACTTGGACACGACGCCGTCAATCAGCAGATAGCTCTGTCGTTGCCGTTGCCTCTGCCTCTGCACCTCACTCGCCTTCCACTCTCCCCCTTTTGCTGGGTCGCTCCTGCTGCATCATTTGCAATATTACACAACAATTTCTAACCTCAACGAAAGGGGGAGAGCAGGCAGCAGGCAAGAGTGGGATGTGAATTGATGGTACCTGCTAGCTTGGAGTTTCCTGGCATTGGTCAGCAGGCGGGTGCTGAGGGCACGCACTCCAACCTGTCCATCGCCGCGTCGGAGGCAGGCAGTGGCTGGTCGTCGGAGGAGCACCGCTCGCAGGGCCCCCAATTCGTTTCGTGTCGTTGCAAGGGAGCGCAGCATTGTCCTATCTCCGTTCTATCTCTGTGTTAGCGCTTGAATTTCAGTCGGCAGCGGGCGGTCTAGACGCGTTGCTTTGGTGTTTAAAATTTAGACAAATAGATCGATTCGAATGCGGCAAAGTCGAAAAAATTTACAAAATGTTACGGGGTCGACCTCTAGTGATAACAGTGTGACGGACTTATCGACAAAAAATACTGTCTGACCCACAAAAATATACCAAAATGTACCTAATAATTTTCAAAATAAACAGTCCGTCGACAGAAATCACTTAGCTAGACTTAGATATTTGGTTTGATATTGCTAGCAAGTTAAGACCCTTGGCCATGGAACTATACTTTTATCCGATTCAGGAATTAATTCTACACACGATTTACTAGTTTTCTTTGCTTCTTTTTATTGGTTTGTTTACAAAATACAGTTCAAACTAAGAAGGTGTAAGTAAGTAAGCGAACACCCTGACGATAACTCGAGCATTCCAATCGTTGATGACAGTCTATCGATAGTTGGCGCCTAGTTCAGGGTTGTCTTTTGTTTGAATATTTCAAAAGCTTTGTAGACGGAATTTTGCATGCATTTACACCATTTATGGAAATGATTTTAATGGCAACGAATTGATTCAAATTCCCTCCGTTTATTGGGTCAAAACAGCGTCAAGGCCATCTATTTTTAGCTTTTCAAACAGAGCCACCTGTATGAAAAGCAAGAACAGGTGGCCAAGACCCCAGAATTCACTCAAACTGCCAGAAAAATCTCAAGGCTGTACATTTAAGCATTTATTTTAATACATTTTATATTTATTGAAGATTTAACTATAAAAAAATACAGCCTTAAATGTCTTAATTAACAATCAATTAGAGATTAAGCTTATGTTTACTCAATTTATAAATTTAGACATCACTGATTGTTTCGCACGAAATTCGCCTCATATTGAGTGTACTTCAACATGTGCCGGGTTACAGGACACACCAGAGCACCTGATGAAGTACAATAGACATGGGAGACACATGAAATTATATATATTGTATTCTGAAGAAAAGATGATGCCACACACAGATGTTCGTGTCTAGCACCACGCGCGCTACTTCAGGTACCTGACTGCAGTGAAAAAACCAGCCCCGGTCTCTGATTAGCGCGCATGGTAGGAGACTTTCAAGAAGGTGGGCTGTGGGACGAGATATAAAGCCAAGCCCAAGCCCAGGTCCGAGACGAGACCAGATGTTGCTTGCTGGTGCTGGCTTGGCAACGCGGTTTTGTGTTCTGCTGCCACTGCAACAAATGGCGTCGCTTCCACTTCACTTCATGTTGCGCGAGACCATATTTCATGCGCCATAACCACGGGAGGAAACGACCTTGTGCCGAGTCCCATGTCCAGCTTAAAGGTTAACGATCTCTCTCGCTCTCAGCATATGTTCGTCTCTTTCCAGGCTGTTGCCGCTTTTTCTGCTGCTGCCGCTGATGACTTCATGCGACGCCGCCACATAATGGTTAAGCTTTTGCTCTTTTTACCTCTCCGATGTGGCGGCTGCTGCTGCTTTGCTGCGGATGTCTGCCCCTGAAGGTCTTGCCAGTTGTCGATTTTATGCAATAACAATACCAAATTAGTCATATGCTTCTTTGCACACCTCGTTCTGGCCACCATACACAGACATTACGTGCTAATGACTACATACAAGAGAGGGAGACACTGGGAGAGAGAGAGAGCAGCCAGCCAGCCAGCCATCCGAGGACGTGACGTCATCAGTGGCGAAAAATGACGATTATTACATTCATTCAGCAAATTTTTTCGCAATTGGTGTCGGACCCGGCAGCTAGAGACCCTTGATATTCTATATTTGAAATTCTGTAAAGAAAATAAGCAAGAGAAACGTCTGCAGTGAAAAATAATGAACAAAAAAATTGCAAAGAGCGAACAGACAGACGGAGTGGATCACGAAAAGAAAAAATATCTGTTGAGAAGAGAGAGGAGTGTGAAAATGGCTTTAGAGAAGTGGGAACAGTTGAGACCAGCAAATTATGATATTTGTAGAGAAAGAAAAAGTGCCAGGCAATGGCTTCACCTTGTATCACATACCCTTTGGAGCACCGCTTTGAAAGCCAAGAACAAGAGAGCCCGAGAAGAAGTAATGACAAAGAGCGCTGCTTCGAAAGAAGCAACGAAAAAGAGTAGGGAGAAGAAAAAGCGAAAAAAGAACCGGCGTTTTGTGCTCTCCCTCTGTCCGCCTCTCTCCGCTGTTACTAACCGACGCAGCAGAAGCACAGGCCGCCGAAGCAGCAAAGCTACGTGCGTGATCACTCACAAATACACACACGTACACACACAGCAGCTGAGAGACACACACGTGCCCGCCCCACTACATTCGCGAATTCTCTTTTGTCCAAGACATTCACACACACGATTTCACACATGTGCAAAAAGAGGTATAAAACCAAAATTAAAATTTTGCACACAATTTTTGTTGGTACGTTTAAATTACCAGCTTGCTCAGCCGAAACTTTTAATTCTCTTTTTTACAACGCCTCATAAATTTTGCAGCAGCCGCGCTTCGAAAATGTATGCGCGAATGGGTGTGTGCGAGCGTATGATGTGTCAGAGATGTCGGCAGCGATCGCGAACAGCTTTTGCTTTTCGACTTGTGAATAATTGCGAATTTCTGTTCGAATGTCGCAGAGTACATACATATGTACATATATATCACTTATATATTCGTTTGCACATATATGTAGGTATAATGCGAGGCAGCCATGTCTGCTACTTGTATGTGTCTTGCTTGGGTGGGGCATTCCTAACCTCAAATAGTAACGACGACAACTGCCGTCCCGAGTGCATGCCTGTGTGAGTGGGTGCCCATACCCTCTCTGTCTGGTTCTCTCTCTCTCTCTTAATGCAGCGCTGCAGCGCAAGCACATGCTTTTGGCCCCAGCCAAGCCGCCTTCTATGCCCTTAACCCTGACTGAGCGACAAAAAAAAATGGAAGCTAAAACCAGCTCACAGACGATCAGCCACACGCACACATAGGCAATTTGCCACTTTCATGTGTGTTTGTGCGGTGTCTGGGGCAGAAAAAATGTTGTCTAAAATTAATATTTGAGCGACAAAAAGTTTTTTGCAGGGCAACTCTGTCCTAGTGTGTATGAGTGTGACTGCGGTACTCTGTGCTGGTGTGAGTGGCGCGTGTGGGTAAAAAGGAAATTTGGAAGTATGTAGAATCATGTGGTCGCTCGCACTCACACACACAACCAGCCTAGAAGCTGCCGCCTCAAACATTGGCGTCACTTAATTGTTGCTGCTGCTGCTGCTGCCTTGTGATATCAAAATGCTATAAATAAGTCTTGAACCTCTTCTTCGACCAGTAATTCTCTCGGCCTCTCTGTACTGTTCTTCGCTCTTTTCGCAATTCCTTTTTTCTTCGTGGAAAGCCCCAGAAGCTCCAGGAGAAAGAAACCACGTTGATAGTTTCTTCTCCCTCTCGCAAATTTCACAATATGTTTGCAGTTCCGCTTTGAACTTTTTCTTTCTTTGCCATTTCCGTTGCATTTTTCTTGTAAATTGTCCACCGAACACTCACGCACACTACCACACACACGGACACACGCGGGTGTACTTTTAACAGTTTTAAACTTTTTTTCGTCTCATTGCTCTTTGTCGCCGTCTTCGTTGTCTCTCATTTGGTGCAAACTGAACGACTGTGCGGCCGCCCAGACACGGCCTGGCCTTTTATTTTATTTATTGCGAACGTCGTCACCGCCGCCGTTGTCGTAGTCGTTGTGGTCGTCTGGGCCGGGGGCCGCCGCCTGTCTGATTTTGACTTTGCCCAAGCTCTTCGTCGAGCCAAAAAAGCCAGAGATAAATTTGTGCAGAGGCAAGAGAGTGGTGAGTGAAGAGTGGAGATTGGGGCTTTTGGGGAGCTAGCGAACCGCGCACGCCGGCTGTTGCGATCAAAATGCTCAATGCTCAATGTTTCTGCTTAATCAAAACCCAAATGCGTGAATTTTATTTCCACACACACACACATATTGGCAGAGACTTCGTCGACTGCGGCGTCGACGGAGCGAGACTGTATGTGTTCACTGTATGTGTTGCCGTTTCTTTCGCACAGTGGCGGGATATTATACTGAGAGCTCTGCTTCCTGCTTCCACAAATGCATGTGCTGGTGGTACAGTGTGTATTCTTGAAAGGAGATATCGTTTTAATGGCAAAATGGAAACAATTTTAAATTTGCACCTTTTTATTGCGATTGGCAGTTGCTGCCAAGATGAATATGAAGAATATTTACCATTTTTGTGATTGGTTTTGAATACTAAAGCCAAAAATAAGAAAAAGTGTGTCTGGGCACACTGCAAGCACGTGGGGAAAATAACCTCTACGCCAGGTAAGTATTGGAGCAAAGCTGTAACCAAGTTACATATTACGACGTGGCGATTTCCCCCTTGAAAGGCGGGTGGCCAAATAATTCCCCTCTACCTAAGGGTAGAGCGGTAACTTAAAACCTCAAAAAAAAAAAAAAAGCCAAAAATAGTAGATTTAGCGTAGAGCTTTTGGGTTAGGAGGTTCATTATCACGAATATCCACTGTATATACATTTGCCAGTTCTCAGGCGAGTTCCTTTGTTATAAAACTGCACCACCAACCAACTGACTGCAACAGAAAAGCTTTGCACTGTGGGCTCTACCAATAAATAAGTCGACATCTGTGAAACGTATAAAGTATTCTGGAAACACATGGAAATTAGAGAAAACACTAACCCCGCTGTTTCACCTATCTATTGAAATTTGTAATGACTCGAAACGTTTCATGGAACGCCCATTTTACTTAGGTAAGTACATATGTATGTACACGTGTAAATACATATGCACGTACACTTAAAGTTTCTGGAAGCATACTGCAGGTTGAATTAACAATATTTTAGTCGGTTCGCTTATCTACTGACACTGAGATTATGGAAGGTTTTTTTTTCTAGAAATTCCCAATATCATATTGCTAAAAAAATGTATGAATGATTGTTTGCGAATATCTGGAAAGTATTGCATTAGAATTCCTGGAATTATTTCAGTTGTTTCCAATAATAAATCTAAAGCTTTGATTACGTATATTTGCCATATGTTTTAGTGCTAATTTCTTCCACTGTGCACTTCTATGACCGCTCTGGCTCTGGGTCTGGCTCTCTCTCTGGCCCTGCTGCTGCTGCTGCTCTCTCACTCTCTGCCCGTTGCATATGTATGCTTTTTGGCTATAAACATGTTTGTCTTCTTTCCCCAGCCAACTACAAACACATCCTGTCTGCTGCTGCCGCTGCTGCTAGCAGAGCCGCCCTTTCCCCTCTGTCTACCTGTCTCTGCATCAAGCGACAATGTCAATGCGCTCGTCTCTGTCTCTTGGTGTGTTTTGTGTGCGCCTGTGTGCACTTTTTCTGCTGTTGCTACACACGCCGATCCATACCCTATCCCTCCCATTCTTGAGCCTCCTGCTACTCGCTTTGTCTCACCAGACGGCCATGTAAACGTGTTGTAGGTTTCGGTATTTCTTCCATGATTCATCCAACCAGATGATGATGTGATGAAAGCAAAGAGTCTCACAGATGATGTGATGTGAGGGGTACCGGTCTTCTAGAGCAAGATGTGATTAGAACGAATTTCTATGATGATATTTATCGGTGGAGAGAGTACGGATCGCACACTTACGAGTATAATGAGCAGATAAAAGCTGGTAGGACTTCCAAAGAAAAGCATCTTTGATCATAAACCGAGTATATGTATTTCTTTATCTTAAGATATATTTTTTTGGGCAAATTTCACTATAAACCTACGTACTAAAATTACTATCTAGATCTAGCAACAAATAAAGTACACATACACACAAATACTTTAGCGATACTTTACGAGCTAGTACAGTTAAACCACAACTAATAAAATCTCTAGGAAAATACGCATCAGGAAGATGATGCGGGGTACATGGGTGCAGAGTCATCGTCATCTATAAAGCATGCCGCGGCATGCTTCCAGCTACGGCGTTAAGGCGATTCAGCACTGGGCTGTACTGGAATGAAGGGCTGCCAGCGCAGACATGAGTCGTCGATTTTGGGAAAGGTACCGCGACGTTTAACACGCTCCTCATACTCATCCAGAACGTCCTGGCAAATAAGGTTAGCATATTAGTAAAATGATCTATAAAAGATCAAAGATCACTTTGAATAACTTACTTGCTTTTTGAGTACTATGTGCTTGCCCTTCCAGTACTTCATCATGCCCAGAGCCTGCAAGGTGCTGACTATATCATAGGAGTATATGGCCATTTCCTATAGATGGGGAATAACTATAAATTATTCTTTTATAAATAATTCTTAGTTGTCATTACCTGAGATACATCCTTGATGTTCAGGGAATTCCCTGAACGATTGCACAAATAGTCCAACAGCACATCTTTCCAGTAGGACCTGTACGAGATCAGACCCAGATCAGATAGCGGTTTCTCCGGCGAACCGATTTTGCCCTCCACTCGAGTCAGGAGGTAGCCTGCAAAATAATTAACAAATTATCGTCAAATAAGGTTCAGCATAAGCCCTGTAAGTATGCTATAGATAGAGTAACAACTCCAAGTTCCGGTGTATTATTTATGGTGACCAACTTTGTCCCGCCCCTCAGCCGGCTATGTGGTGCGGTAAGGACTGTTCTGCTCGGCCCAGGCCTGGTTTGGGAGTGTGTGCGTGTTGTGTCTAGACAGGATTCCGCAAAGTATTCATTGGATGGACAGGGACGAAATGGGGGGGACATTTAAACAACGTTCTGGCGTACATTCAACCCAGCGACAGTGTCACCTCCAAAGACCCACCCCAAAAGACCCGAGGACAACGACGACGTCTGGCAGCAACAATTCCCAACAACTCTAGATAACAAAAAGGCGAGCTTTAAGGATCGAATTTTAGGATACCCTCAAAGACTGAATACTGTTAGAGTTGGTTACATTTGGGTGATCTTAGAAGAAAAGAGATAGTTGTTTTGATGGAAAGTCCGACTAGAAAACCATTTGAATAAAGTCTAAAAACGCTTACAAAATGAGGGACTACTGTAGCACGTGTTGGATGAAATATACTTCCTTCTCTGGTGAAAATTGTAATATGTACTGTCTGCAAAGGGTATATAAAACAGAGGCAGCAGCCGCAGCCACAGCGACAGCGACAGCGACAGAGAAATCGGCCGTCGTACCCGCAGCGGCAGCAACAGCGACAGCTACAATGAGTGCAGCTAAGTAAATTGACGAGGACGAGGACACACGGTGCCCTCACAACATAAAATCCACTGAGGCAGGCTCGGGAAAAAAACTTGCAGTCAGTCACCAATACAGGCACATAGACAGCGAGAGAGAGCGAGTGAGAGACACAGCCGAGAAGCAGAGGAACGTAGACGCGCAGACACACTCAACGGACCAGACGGCAGACACAGCTGTTGGGGGAGAACGGAGGGAAATCCTGACTGCTAGGCGCAGGGTTGACAACAGTGGGAAATAATTGAGAAAAATTCAGCAAAATATGATGTGTGCTAATTATAATTAAATTATTTAATACCCAATATTATGTTTGAAATTAGGGTAAATGAGTGGAACACTTTCATATATAATTAAATTAAATATTCAAATATTCATCAAAATATTTTCATGTTTTAGAATTGTAATAAAAAATGTTATAGTCTGCTATAGTTATCCCACTGTATAGACCATTTTATGCACTCCAGAGGGGGAAAAGAGATGGCCCGTGGCTTTTGGTCGCAGGGGGACGTTTTGGGTGCCACTTTGATTTCTTTGTGCCGCACTTCGCCTTCTCTCACCGGGCACCGTCCCTCTGCTCATGAATTTATCGCGGCGAAGCGGCAGGAGCGGGTACAGAGTGTGAGTGGAAATGTCGAGACGACTTTATCGATCCATTTTGATTCCCATTCGGTGGACGGCGGGCGACGCGACGCGAACTCGAACGCTGACGATGCGAGTTCTGTTCTGCTGAATGTTGCATAGCCACAGGCGCTTTGAGTACCCGAGTAAGGATTTACAGAAGAAAAAATGCTCTCTAAAAATGTTTAATAAAACAAAGAGAGAAAGAGAGAGAGGAGCAGTGTAGAGAGCAACTTTAACTCAAATTAGCAAGGCTCTAATTATTATTTTTTCTTCCTTTTTCTAGACCTAGACAGTCGGCGAAGCGATAACAACAAAGTGAGTAATGAGTACCACGTACGCTCTTTGGGTTGAGAAATGCCACCAGCACAGTGGTTGCAAGCATGGCTTTAAAACTGTGACACTACTTTCTGATCAGCTCTAAATGTATTTTTTTAATAAATTTTAAAATGAATTTTAAGTAAACTCTAATACTAAAACTCTGTCCAAACGTATAAAGTTCTCATATCTGGAAATTTCTAGTTGGCATGAATTGTTTGACTCATGAAAGTTATCATTGTCGAGTGGCCACTGTAGCCACCAACACGAAGAGGACGACGCCCTTTCATTGTGACCTGCCCTGACCTTTGTTGTCTGCCGCCGTCAGAGCCTGTTGTTGCTGTGTCTGCAGAATTGTATTATTTTCCGCTGCGTATGCGGGAGCGTCCGAAAAAGATAAAAGGCAAAAATTGAAGGCGGCACGTTTGAACAAATTTTTGGCAAACTTTTGTTTTGTTTTTGGCTGCTCGTTTTTTGACGAGAAACTTTTTTCACAAGGGTCTGGTTTCCCATTAATTAATACATGGGTTAATGCGAGAAATAGGGTGGCAACCCTTGCGTAGCGTAAACTTTTCTCTGTCTCTGTCCATTTCGCTTCGTCTCCCTCTTTTTGCAACTCATTTGCATTTTGCGTGTTGCAGTTATTACACCTGGACATAATGGTATGGCTTTCTCGCTCTGGCACACATGCTCTGGACTGAGAGAGTGAGAAAGGGGTTCCCACTGCCCTTAAGCTAACCCCTAGAACGGACCCACCTGCCCCCCTCCACCAAGCATGAACAACCAGCTGTCTGTCCAAAAACCGTTCACCTGCCTCCAATGCCAATTTCCCCCCTCTCCGTTATTAATGACGAAAATGATTTGCACGCTCTCGCACATAGTAGTACCTTCCTCTCTCAC